TGTCGCTGTCTAGTGGCGTTTCAACCTCATGCCGTCCCACCGTGTTATAAACTGACAGCATATTGTACCGGCGAGAGAGGATGAGCTCTTTGTCAGCGTCTGACGCGGGAATCAATGACCAAGCAGCAGTATCTGACGACTTCGTAATGAGAATGGGTTCACATGTTTCTATGGTATGAAGTCGCTGTATGTATGTGTTTATGCTTTACAAAGGGTTTAACCTGAGCCATGTCATACATAAATTATAGTAATACTTTCACATTCATACAGGGTTAGGAGTATACAGCTGTGATGTATGTACGTATTTATTTATTCATTACCACAACTGTGTCAGATCGGCACAAGGTATCGGCTGTTATGCAAGCTCAGGTATCAGAATCACTATCAGGAAGGAAAAAATAGAGACAAAACATCTCAAGAAATAATCACAACCAGGATAAAAACTGAGAACAGTTTGGAAGACCTGATTCTTTCTTCAGTTGTTGCAAACTTAAAGCAATAGGCCGATGGCAGTAGTCAGATTAGAGTCATTAGATTTTTTGTTACAATGCTCATTTCACTCTGGTGTATAAACATTCAAACGAGAACAGTGTGCAGCCCAAGTAAAATCCTTTATTTACTTTACTTACACACCCAGCTGTATCCACAGAAAATGAATGTCAGTTCAGACTACAGGAGGCTTATATTGCCATATTCTACACTCTAAAGAGCTGCCTTTATCCTCCCTGTGGAAATATGTGAGTGCGGGGTGGAAGATCTCAGCAGAGCACACAGCAACAATCATAAAGTAGCTCTCTACAGATTAAAATCTCCTTATTCCTTGCTGGTTTTTGCTTAAAGGCCTCAACAAACCAAGCCGCCGGTCAGCCGTTGACCCTTTTATTGTGATGTGTCCCACACTGTTAGAAGTAGCCGGCACTTGTTGGCTATTTTTCAGTTGATTCGGCATGCTGAGTTGGCGCCTGAGATGGCAGAACCCGTCAGTGAATGAAATCTAACTGGAGGTTCAGCTCAGCGCACAAGAAGAGAAACGGAAGTGAGGAACGTAAACAGCTATAGTCAAGAGGGAGTGAGACCAAAACTAACTTGTTACTAGGGCCTGACCGATTTATCGGCCGTTTATAGGCATTAGAGAATAATCGGCAATCGGCCAACGCCGATGTTAACACTTATATTTTCATCACTAATAAAATGCAGGGAATATGGTGTTTTACTTAGAAATGATGTCCTTGTGTTACTTTTTGCACTATAACCTACCTCTGTGAACGTACATGTGAATCTCTTAATTCAAACAGACTTTGCATGATTATTTTATTTCCCAGAGGTTTACTGCCTTTTTGCACATCATATTTTTGATTTATTTTGTGTTCAAATTGTTCATATGCTGCTTGTTCCACACAATTTCTGATAATAAAAGTATTTGAAAATAGTAAAATGTTCCTCCTTCAATTTATGTCTTTGTAACAAGTGTTTGAACTATATTTAAGCCATCAAAAGCAGGTATTTCCCGGGGGGGCAGGGGGGTTAAATTGAAAAACGTAAAAATTTAATCGGCCGATATATCGGTTATCAGATTTTTATTCCATAACATCGGAATCAGCATCAGCCCCAAAAAATCCATATCGGTCGGGCCCTACTTGTTACATAAGGTGAGGCTGTTTTTTTAGCTCTTTAGCTGAAACAGTTTGTAGCAGTTTGCCTGTGCACAGTACATATGCTTTGTTCTTTCAACATCAGGTCATGTTGGTAATGTGCTAACTGGCTAACTAGCGTCAAAACAGTCTTCTAGTTTTCCTTTCCTTCTGTCCATACTCAGCATTCATTTCATCCATATTTGTGCACATTTTTGTTGAGCGCTTATGGAAATGGATAACGATCGGTAATATTAAAACGCATTCTTACTCAAACCTTGTCACGTATTGACGGTCTATCAAGGACTCTGCACGTCCACATATGACGTCCAAGGTATCCTGGGTGTGTTGGTTGTTGACATTCTGGGACGCCGTGTCAACTTCAGCCTGTTACATGCACATCAGGAGTTCTGCAGCCTTAACTTATTTTTGTGGTCCGTCATTAAATCATAATGGTGACCGTCAGCGTATCATGCCGACATGAAAGGATGGCTTTTTTCCATCAGCGTCTGACACCAGAAGTCACTGCCCAAGCACCATCTCGACAACTTCACCGTGAGACCAAGATGGTCATGTAGTGAAAAAACTTGCTGTCCATATATTGGGATGTATAACAAATATACAACAAATATAGACTACTGCCATCTGCTGGTTTGAAAAGTTATCTCTTCCCACACATGCCACCATTCCTTTTAGGTTGGTTTGGTGTGTCTGGGCCTTCAGTCAACCACTGAAGAACACACAGATACTGTGGGATTACACACATCTTGTCTATATATGGTGCATATCTGAAGAATTCATTTAAAAGCTCTTTAATCTGCTTTTAAATGTGCACGTCACGCTCATAAAACTGCTTTGCTCTGACTCTCACAGACTCCACATTCTGCCTGACAACTTCCTCTCACAGCCAAAGTAAATTAATCCCATGTGATGCACTTACACTTACTAACTCTGAAACTTAAACTTAAAATCTTGTCTTTGCCAATTAGAGATCCACGTCTGTGTCAGACTCTCTAATTCAATACGTTTCAATAAGCCTCCAGTCACATACCAAGTTGTGGTTGTTCATTAGGATGAACACACGCAGTACAGTGAGTGTAACCTCTGAACTGTCCCTCAGCTAATTCAAAAACACGCCTCCTGAATGCATAAATAGTTGTTGCTGATTTGTTGTCAGCTTCCTGCAGAACACTTCCTCCTTCAACTGAGTAACCTTTTCATCAACAAGGAAATTAAGTTTCATTCTAAAATCTGATATCTGCCATTTCAAAGAGGTGACACTCACTGTGAGGAAACTGACTAATTTAAGAAATGGAGATTTTTAAAAGGGTATCTGGTAATGCAAGAGTGTGATTGACAGCACCCCGGCGCACTGGATTATCTTCAATATATTATAGATACACAGATGAACTTTGGGTAATGATTTTAGGCCAGAATGGGAATGGAAGTGATGAATTTTCTGCATGTCATTAAAGTTGGAGATATGAGGTGTCTATAAGACAGTGACAGGCGGCTTAGATTGCTCATCTCAAAGTGCTCTTTCATATCCCCCTCAAAATTCAGTCTCCATTTTCCACCCCCCGTATGAGTGAGGAAAGAGGGAAAAATGGAGGTCAGTGTGTGTGTGTGTGTCTGCCAGTGTAGACTGGCGGAGAGAGGCATTACCTCAGAGTGCCAGACGGACAGAAAAATAGGCAAACAGTCTGATACAGACTGAGCGCACACACACTACTATATTTACACATGCACCCTAGTGAAGGCCGTAATGTCATCAAGTCTTGTGTCATGTGCTGCCGTTTCTCAGTCTTGTATTGCCATCTAGTGGTGACAGCAGGTGATTCATTCATGTGTCATCATAAAATGTCCCTGCTGAGGCAAACTGGTCAGAGCTGCAAAAGTCTTGGCGGCAAATAAGGAAAAGATGAGCCAGACACTGATTTTCATCCCATGGTGGAAATATGTTATTTGTAAGACCAGATTTATCACTCTGAACTACAGGATTTTCAGTTTAGTGTGAATACAAAACTAAAAAGTTCCACAAATTAGTGGGAGAGAGGAATATCACCTCCACAAAGTTCATAACTCATGAACATTTTTGTCATAAGGCAGGGTTTGCACCAGGTGTTTGAAGAGCTTTATGTACTTAAATTTTGAGGAAAAAATGTTTGTGTAGTCTCAGGATATAAACTAAATGAGAACATTTGAATCACTAATAATCTGACAGCAATTAGTTCTACTTTAAATACTAAAGCAGCACAAGAAAAGTGATGTGGCTCCAGGGTTTCTAAGGGTTAAAAGGAACAGAATAAACTAAAATGGGATGCAGAAAAAAATTAATATTGGGCATTCATGTGAGAAAAAACTAAAGAGATTTGTATGACAACAAATATTGTGTCTTGGGAAAACAAAATACAATGGGATTTAAAGAGATGGAGATTTATACCAGACGGAAGATTAAACAAGCAGAGACAACGAAAATGATGGTATGCCCAAAATTTTTATTCTCGTTCCAAGCATTGCCAATTCAAATCCACAGATTTAAGTTTAATATATGGAATAAGATTATTGTAAATTCTGTATGGAATAATAAAAAACAGAGAATTAAATTTAAAATCTTGCAGGGAAAAAACAGGAGGAAGGTCTGGGTGTGCCCAACCTGCAAAATTATTTTTTGCAGTACACATTACTTGCAATAATGAATTAGATGACTCCTAACACAGATGCAAAATGGATTGATAGAAAAGAAAATAGCAACATTATCAATAGCAGCAATGACAAAACATGTAGGACAGTGTAAATGTGTGGCAGACACAATCACGAATTGGAAACGTGCATCTATACGTATAATCCAGTATTATATATTATTCAGAAATGGGCTGTTCTACAAAATGACTAGTCAGTTTTGGTATTTTAAGTACATTTCCAAGCTAGCAGTTTTAGTATTTTAATATAGTAAAACTAAAAATGCACGACTTCTTATGTGAAACCGTTTTTCTACATTGTGGTGTTGCTACTTAAGTAAAAGCTCTGATGATCCTAAACACTGTACAACAAAAAGAAAAGAGAGACATACCACAGAGTTCAGCACATCAGTTTAATTAAACTTTATGTGATCAAATATATTCACGTCTATAGACAGAAACTAGCTCCACAATAATTCTGTCATCTCAGGAAAGCCAGACACATATCCTTACATAAAAATTTATTAAAATAAATTTTGAATAAATGACAGAGAAATCAGCTTTTAAGTAAGAGCGACTGACAGATGTAGGCAAAACAGACTTACAATACTCTACAGCAGGTCTACACACAGACGTGTAGAGACCAGGATGAGCCAGAAAACAGCTAAATATGACTGCTGAATTACAAACTGAGTCTTTTCCAGAAATGTTTCTCCATCTGAGGCTCATTTGGCCCATGTATACTGGCAAAATAAAAACATGTTCACACAACACAAATGACTTCTTTAGGAACATCCTGTAAATGTATACGTCTGTTTCTGTCTTTTTATCACAAGTAATGCAATGCAGCAAACCTAAACTTATCTTGCTGCTACTTCATCTATCTGACAGTTCATCCCAGTGATCCAAAAGAAATGGCTGACTTCAGCAGCATGACTTCATGTCTTAAAATCATAAAACAATTTTGCAGTAGCTGCTAATACCTGCGTTCCTTTATTGTACACCACCCAAACATATAAACCGAAACACAACAACAAAACCTTAAGGTAATCAAAATAATGTTTCACCAGACAAACATGCGTGGATAACTGAGGTGGGGTGTGTCTCGAAACTAAGACAGTCTGATGTTTCAGGGTTGAGCCTGTGGAACAAGTGAAGATGTCATATTAAGTTATAACAACAGATTTCTACAGCTAAAATAATTAAAAGACTGTTGGATTAAGTTGTGAGGGACACGCTCCTGTAAATGGCTAATTGAGATATTTGTGTAATACCATCTGTAAAGTGCGTGAATCCCAGATGTCAGAGCAGTTCCCACTGCAATTATAATGTAAGTTAACACATTTGACTCTTGATAATGTGGTAGATTATAGTAATACAGTAGTAACATGAGTAAACCACAGATGAAGGGATTCATAACATCAGTTGTTTCCAGCCTGGGGGTCACAAGATGATTAGCCTATTGCTTTAGTTAAGGATCAACGCAAGCTGTTTACTTTGTATTGATTTCATTTCTCTTAACAGAGATAGAAACCAACCTAACTCAAACATGCCCTTGTGAAGCTGCACTTGATTTAATGAATCATTGTGAACAGAATACTGGAATTGGAAGTGAGCTTCATTTGTGTCACTGGAAGTTCGGCCATCTTGGATGAGGCCATACTCACCTGGGCAAAGTAATCATGGTCGAGAGGTGCCACCTGAAGCCATGACACCTCATTCACCAAGGCTGCCCACTGCGACTCCCCTCCATCACACTCAGCAGGTGGCTGGTCGTCCTCTATGGCCTCCTCTGGCTCAACCCCTACCCCGACACATACGTCATGTAATATAACACATGCAGTCATCACCTGTACACAAGACAGGGCAAACAGACATATCTCTAGATATATGGCAACTCAGAACATCAGATTGTGTGATACAAGGTGCGGTTATGTGACTAGCAATTGTTGGGCATAAAAAAATGGGTATTTAAAAGACAATTACCTAATTCATGAGAAACACTGGGAGGATTCATCATCTTGGGGACAAACTGTGGATGTACTTCAGGTGCTTCCAAAAGGAAGCACCTGAAGCAGGTTTTCATCACTCCAAAGGCACGCTCAGTCACTGAGCAACCTCTGGAGCGATGATGATTGAACCGTTGTTCTGCCATGCGTCTCACCGGCTGCTTATATGGTGTGATAAGGACCAGGGGTTACTGTAGACATGGGTAACCACCATCAGCTGCAATGAAACACCCAGGTGGAGGGTAAATCCTGCTAATGATGGTGGGGCTGTTCTTCAGGATGCGCGCATCATGCACACTTCCTGGGTAAGCCTCAAAGATGTCAATGAAGCAACCCTGGTTGTCACAGACTGTCTGGAGCACTGCTGATGGGAATAGCTTCCTGTTTTGGTAGTCGTGACCATCAGGGCCCCCAGGACATTTAATATGAATGTGGCAGCTGTCGATTGCCCCTGCTGCCTTGGCAAAGGCACAGTGCCAAGCCAACGTGGAAAGGGAAGTACACAAACTGGCAGAGGGACTCATCTGCCATCCTGTGGACGATCCTGTGAACTGTTAGGAGAGGTATGTCAAAGACCCTGGAGACAACCCTGTAAGCAGAGCCAGTGGCCAGCGACACCAGGAACAACAGCGTCTCCAGAGTTGGGCCACCAGGGGCTGCTGTGTTGCCTCCCTGCCCAGTCGGAAGTCTGGGTGCGTGTCCTGACCCCCAAAGTACCACTGGAGCACAGGTACAGTGGGGCTGATGGCACAGTAATGATGGGCCTGCACAACATACAGGACAGGACAGAAGGTTTAAGTTTGATTTTCATCTATTACTTGTGTCATTTGTTTAATTTGTGTGCGATTACATATATTACATAGCACATACTACAACAAAACATTTTACATAAACCACCTCAGGCCTGCCGTCATTACAAAGACCCATCTTAATGGTGACCCTTTAAATGTTTGGTGGCGGCGTGTTACCAAGGGGAATTTAAAGCTGTTCCCTTTCCCGTTTCACTGGCAGCGTCAGTCAGCCTCTCTCTCTAGTTTATTACATTAAGCTGTGTTTTGTAGTTGCTGTCCACACGTTGTAAATTCATTAGCACGGCATTTGTTGGAACACTAGATGCTACCGACTCTCTAACCTCTATGGGAGAGTTAGTAAAATTCTCCACACCAGTAATTGGCATGACAACAAGAAACAAACTTTCCTAATCTGATTATGGGCCCTCAGCATTATTTCTTGACATGGGGGAACTGACACAACTGGAAGTAATTGGGAGCTATTGTTTGCCAGTTAGTGTACCCGTTCACCTTCAGTTTTTTACCAACCTTTCCACATCGTTGGCAAAGACGCTGACAGTACAGTCTCCTCCTTCGTGCTGACTGCTGTCGATAATTCCACTTTGTTTCATCCCTCCATTTCAACAAAAGAGTTGTTGAGGACAACTGCCACTGTTGCATCTATCTTCCACAAATGTTTGGTCTTGTTTAAATGCTGCAGATGGGAGTCTAACTACAGTGGCTGGCAAGAAAATACGAATGGCCCCAGCTAGAGCCAGTGTTTGGTGTGTCCATTTCCAGTGATTATACTCAAAAGACAACAAACCTATCATATTTAATTCTTGCCAATATATTCCCCTAAATCTTACATACTGGACCTTTAAATTACCAGTTAGTCCATTTTACATATCTGTAGCAATGAAAACAAATGTGCATCAGAAGCTATGAGAACCAAAGGTAACATAAAATCTTTAACTTGTAAAAGTATGATTTAGAAGAACTGTTTAACGACACAAAGTGGCTCCTCAAGACGCAGTGAAACTGCAAACCTTTATTGTCTTTGTGAGACATATAACTGGTCAGTTGTTCAGTCGGACACAAACACACACTAGTGAGTTTCCTGACATGGCATGCGTCATGCTGGCAGGGTGGTGGGCAAGTGTGTGTGTGTTGTGTGTGTGTGTGTATTGTGGGATGGCAGCATGTGTGGACATGCTTCCCATTCCATCAGTGAAAGCTCTCAGCTGTCCTCCCGTCTGCCTCCTTCCTGTCTCCGTCTCTGTCCCCTACACTGTCCATCCGTCTGTCTCTCCTCCTCTCCTCAGTGCTGTCTGTCCTCACGTCTCTCACCGCCCCCTCTGCCTCTCTGTCTCACTGATATAAGGTGCTATACTGGAGTCATTACTGTAAGAAAAACTTCCACATGTATGGGAAATGATGACGGTGTTGATTTGTGTGTAGTCAACACACGCACACACACACACACACACACACACACACACACACACACACACATACAGAGTCCCAGCTGTCTGCTGTGCCTTGAAGTGTGCTGAGAGGTGGGGGTGCTGTTGGGTGGGGGGAGGTGGAACGGAGAAACCAGAGCTGTCATACTGGGCGAACCACCTTCCCACTACTCACTTTAACTCCAAAGGGCCTGCCGCAGCTTCAGTGCGTGTGTGTGTGTCTCAGTGTAAAGTCAGTTAGCCTGAGGTTAGCCTGCGACCTGCTAACTGCTCAACAACACGTTAACTGAGTGGATGCTGTAGATTTCTGTTTTCATAAACGTCTGGTGGAGATATGAACCTCTCTAAGGTCCAGGTCTTACTGGCATGGATCCTCGCTGTACTTGCTGGTAAGTCTTCCTGTGTGTGTGTGTGTGTGTGTGTGTGTGTGTGTGTGTGTGTGTGAGGGGGGGGGTCCTTGATATTTCAACCTTCTTGGTTATGTTTTTTAGCTCGCAGGTCTTAAAACCATCTGAATGAAGAGGTAAACACAGTCTTGGTCGCTGCATCCAAAGCTCTTTAAACAATACCACAAACTAAACTCACTTTAAAATGTTTTGAACTCATCAAAGAAGCCTGTTGTTTCTAGAAGTCTAAAATAAATCTCCACAACTTAAACTATTTAGAAAACAACCTCCCAGCTGTCATTTTACGCATGTTCTACATAATTCAGCATGCATGTTGCTCAGTTCATGTCCTCTGTGGATGAAGTACTGATTCCTCCAGAGACTGTGCTCGTGTGTCCAGTGGCATTGCTCAGAAACAGGAGACCACTTCCTGACACATGGCCCAGCACCAGGGGAAGGCACTGTGAACACTCTCTCACTGTATATGTGTTTTTTATATTGGGAAGTTAACATCCTGTGCTATAGTTCATTTACTGGATAAACCTTTGGGAAACAACAGGATGAAATAACCAGACACTGCTTTTAGCTTTGTTTCATCAAATTAAAGAGATATCAGGGCGGGGACAATATTTTATCCTCCAATTCAACACTATCATGATACCTGGAGGCCAATTTGATACAGAATCAGAAATACTTTATTGATCCCCGAGGGGAAACTGATTCATTGCAGTCCCTGCGATGTAAGGAATAGAGAATTATAAGTAGTAAGAAAAGAATGTGAAATAGAAGTATGTATGAAGTAATAAAATAGAAATAAAAATGTGCATTATGCTACAATGTTTAAAACTGCTACGTAAGATATTAAGAATAAAAATGTTCACTGTACTGAGCCTGTAAGTGTGTATTGTGCTACATAACTACTATCTTACATTCAAAAATATAATGAATATGTAGTTTTCCCTTATGTTCGTACTGTGACTTTTAAGTACTACAATTCTAAAAGTATTGTGATTCGATATGATGACTTATTGCATTTTTTTGGCACTACATCATGAGAAAAAGGTAAATCATACTCTTCTGGAAACAGCTTATCATGAGACATATTTAAAAGAAACAATGCACCTAACATATCAGTATTTCTGACGGCTATATCAGCAGCATCATGTATTGCATCGAATACTGGTAAATGACATACAAATGTTTCTATGGTCTTATTTTAACTATTTTATTTCAGTGACGCACTTTGTGACCTCTGTGACAGATGTTATATTAAACTTTATATTTACTAAAATGTACAATAAAATAAATAAAGATTAAAAACTTTTTTGTCAGAAGCTTCAGCACCAAGACTCACAGAGAGCTGGGTCTAATCTGTGTCACAGCAGCAACAGAAAGTTTGCTGATCCAACAGGGCAACACACGGTTACTCCGACCTCGTCACATATTGACGTGTGGTCATGGACTTTACATGCCGTCATATGGCATGCAAGGTACCCTGGGTGTGTTGGTTGCTGACGTTCTAGAACGCCATCTCAAGTTCTGCCTGAAAGGTACGTGGTTACCCTAAAACGCAACCACGTGCATTAGTTGTTGAAGGAAATAAAGTCAATTTGCAGTGTTGACATAGTGACCGACATAGTGTGTTTATTTTGAAAGAGACTGTATGCAAACTGTGTATTTTGAAAATAGACAATGCATGTAACAGGATGAAGTTGACATGGCATCCTAGATGTTAACAACCAACACACCCAGGGTACCTTGCATGTCACATTTTGACCAAACATTGATATGTGCCAATGTCAGATTGAGAAAGTATTGCCTACACACGTAGCTGCAGCAGTTTACAACTCAGTCTTTGAGTTCAAAACTGTGTCTGTAACTTCCTGTGCAAAGCAGAAACGAGAGTGTGTTTGCATTTGTCCTTCAGCTCCCCTAAAAGAGGCGGCCCTGCATTGTTAGCATTCCTCTCTGCATTCATATTTAAGGCATTTACTGTAGCTGTTGTCCTCCTCAAGAGTGATTTATATTTATCAGTCAGTAGGAATGGGTTCAGTGTCTTTGTCCAAGGACACCTGGACAGCACACATGCTTTCTGATGCACACACCGTCTCTTGGGGGGGAATTAAACCTGTGACCATTCAAATACTGCCGTCCCTGCCTCCCCAAACTGTGGATCACTTTCCAGATCTTTTAAATAGTCTGTATTCATGTGCTTGATCTTCTCTTTGATGATTTTCTCTATCATTCAAACAAATGTTTCACCCATAAAGTGCATCGTCTGCTTATCTCCATCCACTGATCCCTGAAAATGAATAGACTGCACATTAATTAAATGCTCATACCCCCATATTGCCCAAACTCTGCTTCAAAAGAAAGACAGTAATTATAACATAATGTGACTGGTTTATCTGCGACGCAAATAGTGAGACCTTTACTTTAATTACTGAAAACATCTACTGAACATCAAATTACATGATCCGCTCGTACCTGCCGTGAAGCATCGGGGTCTTGGCAGAAAGACAACATATGATTTAAGATTAACTGTAAACAGCAGTGTCCTCTGTGTCGATCACATGACCATTAAAACCTAAAAATATTATATTCACAAAGACTCAAATACAACATTAACAACAGCTCTGAAAAGGCATAAATGTGGATCAGGATACAGAGTTGGGACTGACTGAATAAACTCTCTCTGACATACAGTATCATGCACTTTACCCCAGCAAAGAGTTTTCATCAGGTCTTCAGTCAGCGCTTTATAAACACAAATGTGCATATATGCAATCACACCTGATTTCTATTCAGTGTTGTTTATCAGGTCTTTCTATAAATCAAGGATTCAGTGTCTGCAGTGGCGAGATTACCAGTCGATTCTTTTCAACAGGAGTTTCTTTCTATTTATCCTTTCCAAGTCAGTGATTTGGGTTCTGGCACACTTTCCAAAACACAGTGGTGACAAATTGATGCAATGGCCAGATAGAGGTGTTATGTCACGATGAATGGATGCAGCCTGTAAGCCACCAGTTGGACATTATCTGCATCACTGCAGATGTGCAATAAAAACGGAGCTCAGTAAATCATTTGAAGGTCTTTATCCCCGGATGCTACACGTCCACTTTGAGAATTATTTACTAGCTTGAGCTTGTGTGTCAGTGCATCAAACAGCCTCCAAACATGATTGTTTTGTCTCAGGTTAAGTGAATTAAGATCTTCAGATAATGTAACTGTAAAAATAAATCACACAGCAGCCTTTCATGACACTCGTTAGAGTCAATGTGTGGTATCTTATTTTATTTGCACTCCTAACGATGAAGATCCGGCTAGCTGTGTTTGTTTTCTTTAATTTTAGGTTGCATTTGATTTTGCAGTGGGAGGTCTGTAAAGTGGTGTTGAGGGTAGGCAATGATTGACAGCTCCAAGTGGCTCCTCTGTCCCGCCTTCCCTCCTGTCTATTTTTGTCTGTGGCCGGATCAAAGCGTGCTCGCAGAACAACAGACAGGGAGCAGGCAGCCGGCGACACACAGAGACAAAAGGTAGACAGCCAGGGAAATGCTGGAAACATCAGCAGCACTGTACACAACAACATCACCTCTCTGAGAAAGACGCCCTGAAACAAACAAACTGCGTGTGTGTGTGTGTGTGTGTGTGTGTGTGTGTCCTCTGCTCCTGCTGGCTAAATGAAACTAGATCCCAGCCTGCTCGGTTCAGGCTGACTGTGGATCGCCAGCACATTCCAGGAATAACAGGCTAAGGATGTAACTTGTGTCACAACTTGGCGAGCAACACTATGATAATCTGCTGAGTCATATTGTAACAGAACTACACGAGGTGTTTACTTGAACAAAGGTAATGTGATAGGCTGTTTGTTGTACAAAGAACAGCCTTCTACAGTCATGGTGCAAGCATGAGGGCAAATGCCCGAAAGATATGGTCACTGTTTCTGGTAGAACCAGAGCAGGATATCAAAAACAGTATCAGCTGATAACAGATCACAGAAACATGCTTGTAATCATTTAGAAATATAAAGATAATCATATATTACAATAGTTTTTGACTGCGACAGCATTGTAGGGTTGACGACTGATGCGTTCACAAAGTAATTATACAATGAGATTTTTGGTCATACATAGTCATACATGGACATTAGGATCAGGTGGTATCACAGTATTACAGTATACCAGGGTATTAAGTAATCCCAACAGTATAACTTTCTATACCGTCAAAAACACAGGCAACTCTCTTTCTGTTAAACTCACAACAGTAGCAATAGTCCTCATTGTAATAATATTGTTAAATCTAAAACCTTTGAAGCTAGAAATAAAACATTGTATTCATCATTTCATCAATTGTAAAACCACCTTTGTGATTTACAAACTTGAATGTCAGGTATGCCGTATCTTTTACATTGGCCGTACTAAACACAGGTTACAAGATAGACTTGCAGAACATGAGTATGCGACCAGGAGAGGTAACCTGGACTACCCTTTGGCTAAACATTTTAAAGAACATCATGGCAATGACCCCTCCTCTTTGTTGGCTATGGGTATTGACCATATCCCTGAGGCAGAGACAGGACAGACAGAAACGTCTCAATCAAAAAGCGGCGGAATGGATTTTCAAATTGAAAGCTACTGTACATCCAGGAATTAATGAGGACCTTGACCTGACTCCATTTTTGTAAATTAATACTTCCTATGTAAAGGTTTCCTGCTTCGTATATCTGTTTGCATATATTTAGTGTCTTTTTTTTAATTTATTTCGGTTGTCTCTTTTTTGTGTTTTATGTATATATTCTATTAATTTTCATGTTACTTCTGCTACTGAATGCAGTTTATGTATATTTATTTTTTGTTCTCCTTATAGAATTTGACCTATTGATGGTTTATTGTGATTTTTTTCTAATTATATTTGTTATATTCTCATTGTTTGCCTACTGGCCCTATAATGCAGGTTTCTATTTATGAGTGCATTGTGTAAAGGGAGTTTGCTTATATGCCTGCAGTTTGGCAAATGGAGTGCTGATTGGCTCCACCCATGTCCGAGTAGCGCCTCATTTAGGCCACCTGTGAACCCTGCAGCTTTATGCCCTGATGAAGGCCAGTGAGCATGGCTGAAACATGTTGGTGATTTTAATGTTCATCATGAACTAGCCATTTAATAAAGGCCTATTAACTTTTGCACCAGAGAAGAGTTGCCTTGGATTTTGTTTTTTTTTCAAGATGTACTGCACTTCCTGACCAAAGAGCACCTTCCTGGATACCATGATACTGCAACCCACATGAGCGCTTCATCTGCGGTTGTCTTCAAGTCACTACAGTAGTACTGCAACACTACATACAGGGTGTTTCTTTTAGTGTAATACACTGAAATGGTAATGTTGCTAGGTGTGTTTCATGCAAAGTGAGGCACACAGTTTTTATTACCTTGGCCATGGTGTCTGCAGGTAGCAGTGACTGAAATGTGGTTCAGCTATCGAACTGTGAGTGATGATGTTCTACGTGGTTACAAGAAACTTTGTGTATCTATAAGCAATAAATGAAGTGGCAAAGATTTACCTTTGGACTTTGACATGAGGGCCTCTAGTTTCGCAGACCGGGCAAGGCAGGGGCGCAGCGCACCTGCGCTTCGCCAACTGGGTGTGGCCAGGTGGATTTTGCAAGTTTGGCACACCGTGCGCGCTGGTGCAGCTACTCCTCTTTCCCACCTCTGTAAGTCGGAAAGAGGGAGGAGAGAAGGCATGGAGTGGGTTTTACACACATCACACCAATCAAATGAGCCCCTCTCCTCGCCCTTAAATGCGCCATGCGAAGGTGTAATGAGAGTTTACTCAATTCGCCATGGCAGAAGAGAGCAGCAGAGTCAGACGGCCAAACTTCTCCCAGGAGGAAACTGATGTTTTGGAGGTCTGCTCGCAGTGTCCGAATATACGGAACTGCGAGCTGACCTCCACGGGCTGATGATGCAAAGGTAGCCTGGGAGGAGGTCACCACAATTGTAAATCAATGTTGCGTTTCTCTCGTGCGGGCGCGCTCTCTCTTTCTCTCTCGCAATCTCACTCTGTTTCTTTTCTTTTGACTTTTCTAAGATGACAGATGCTGAATATATACTCCCTATCTGATGCTGTGGCTGTTTGTGGTTGGCTGAGAGGGATGTGAACTCATTAGTTTGCAGCTGTGTTAATCAAATCAGGTTGGGTTTCCATTACGCGTGCCAAACGTGCCAAACGGTGCCAATCCCCTTTGATCTGACATCAGATGTGACGGGACAGTCGATATAGAGATACATTTATGTGCTGATTGCAGATAGTTGCATTGAATAGTGTTTTTTGTGGGTATTTATTGCATCGTTAATGTGCCTGACATTCTGGAAACCTGCCTGTGAGGTTTTGGTGACGTGTGCGCACTGTCCACCGGTCAGCCAAACTTCAGCTTACACCGGCTGCGCTCTGCCTGCGCTGACAGTAGACCTGGTTTCAGCTGGCAAGCTTTTAGCACACCTTCGGCGAAGCCTTTTGGCACGAAACTGTCACTGCACCAAGCTGGATTTGTCGACACCTTCCCCTGCTGCGCCGCCACACCCATCTCAGCGCACCTCGGGTTGCGCTGCTCGAAACTAGCTCTGCGCGGGGTTCACCACCCTGCGCCACCCTGTGCCACCCTGCGCTGCGCCGGGAAACTAGAGGCCGAGGGGTGTAAATCACAAATTTCATCACAATATCGATTCTTTGGTGAAACGGTACAATATTTGCTGATTTTTAAAAAGTCTGCCACAATAAGATTTGAATTCGACTGAATTCAGGGGCCTGTGATTGAGGTAGGCTTGGACAGAAATGGTGACACATGAGCCATACTGTAGGAAGCTCAAAAGAAAGGTGCATCTTTTAAAAATGTCGATAAGTACAGAGATAGAGATAGATGGAGAGATGGACAGATGTTTTTACTGTGAATAAATGATATCGTTGCTCATTGAATCAGTTTATCAATCCAAATTGATGTAATGCAACACCCCTAATTGGTTTGCACACTACAAAGCCAATACCTACAGTACATATCAGTTAAGCTTGCCAAAACAACAGCACCTCAGTAACTGATAAGAAAGCCACTATAGATATTAGGGTTAAAACCGTAAGACATTTTCACGGTACGATCGTGAGAGTTAATATTATTATTATTATTATTATTATTATTATTATTATTATCAGTTAGAATGGTTAAATAAATATTTTATTAAGATAATACAAACTTGATTAATGGAAGTATGGGTAAAAAGTCTCTTCAGTATCGTGAATAAGCAAATATATAAGGTATGATAACCGGCAACTTTCATATCACCATATACCTTGAAAGCAGCATACTGCTGCAACCCTAATAGATATATTAACCTGCTGGGATTTTTCCAGGGATACAAAGATTAGAAACAGTCATACAGCACAGCTTTTATCCTATACATTGGCATAACTTAATTGTGGTATCACAGAACTGCCAGAGTCTAACTAATAAATGCTTTCCAAATAAATCTGAAGAAAATCTGGAACAAGGTACGACAGAGAAACAAACACACGTCCAGTGGTATGCCTCCTAAAACTATGAGTAAGCAAACAACTGCTGCATGCGTTCAGGTATTTTAAGCATCCACAAAGCTCATCGGAAACCAACAAGTGAAGCTGGACTCGTCCACAGTGGGCCATTAATATTTTTATGTTGCATATTCCGTAGTCACAGCTTAATTTATGGGCTCATAAAGTCATGGTTAAAAAAAAAAAAACTCTAAGTCTGTCAGTTGAAACACTTTTTGTATGAAGAGGTGTTAAATGCGGGTTAACTGTTCTGAACTCGAAATGATCCAGACTGAATGTCAAGTGGATTGGCCGGAGCTGGTTTTCCCCAAACACCCTCTTAACACTCAGCTTAGGTTCGCTCCGAGGACTTATACAGAAACATACTTGATTGCAGCGCTTAGACAGCTCATGGGACACTCAGTGCCGAGGCTTTTCACCAATGTGGCACGCCAGTCACTCCACTGCTGTTGCTGTTGATCTGTCTGCATGTGCCTGCGTCTGTCTGTCGCTCTCATCTGATGTTTCCTCTGTCTTCCTATACATTCTCGCACTCTGTCACTTTAAAAGGGTTTCAGGTTGCTCGCCGTGAGCCTGGGAAATGTTTGCTGTGTGAATCACAGTTGAAAGCAATCTGCCGGCCTCCGGCTCGCTTCAGCTGCGAGTTCAGTTCCAGTATGAGACATTTGTGGGGACATGGGCGTCAGCTGGGGATGACAACATGTCATACTGTGTGCTGTGTGCCTCAGCCAACGAGGCCAATATAAGAATGCATTACAAATGTGTGTACCACAGCGCAAATCATACATCACTGACATGAGGAACAAGTAAAGTTTGAAGGTTTTGAAGCTTAATCGTCCAAAAATGTTTTCCTCTCCTTATTAAATCACTGTGTACGATGCCTCCAGAAGACGAGGCTCAAGTGAAGAGTGTGACTGATTTTTTTTGTGCCCTAGGTCCAGTTTCCTGCTCAGAGGATGAGACCCGTCTGGTGAAAACCCTGTTTACTGGTTACAACAAGGTGGTTCGTCCCGTGGACCACTTCAGTGAAGCCGTAGAGGTCACTGTGGGACTGCAGCTAATACAGCTCATCAGTGTGGTAAGGGGCGAGGCAGGAGTTGGTATTGGCAAAAGCAAAAGAAAATTAAAAACTACTTACATTAAGTGGCATGACATTATGCTCGCACTTTCACTTGAGGCTTTCAGGCTTCCTCCAAATACTAAATAGTGAAAACCATCCGTGACTCAATTTGTGCAAGAAATTAAAGGCTGCCATTACTGTAACTTAACAGCTCTTATAGCCCCTATACCTTCTAGGAATGTTTGTAATTTGAAAATTTCTAATTGCACTAATGAGAGGGTAAAAGTAGACAAGATGTTTGACTTGACTGGACACATGGCTCTCCATACTATGTTGAGGAAGTTGCATATTAGCAGCATGGTTTCACTTCATTACTGTTGCTATGTTACTTGCAGTTAAATATAGGATTTATGAAATTAATTCAAGGCAAATTAAATCAGAATATAGGCACACAGACACTACATCAGAGAGAAAGTAACCTACTGTATGGATCACAGCACGCAGAGCTATTGTAAATGTCGCTGTCCGAGGTACTGAAATATACAAGGCAGGTCTGCAAATTTCAGTCAATAGAGAAAGAATGTCACTGTATGTACTGGTCAAACTGTATGAAAATAACAACAGGAAATATTTGACAACACACTGCTTTTCAATGACTGAAACACAATCAAGAAGCAAAGTTTCAATCAAGAACCGCCAGAAAGTCACAAGCTTTGACGCCTTCAGATGGCACAGCAGCCAGAACAATGCAAACAAGGAATTTAAGCACACTGTAAACACCGAGACTACAAGTCATGAATCCAACCACACAGAGCAACAAGGTGACAGAGGCCTTATGACAATAGGCAAGACTCAACTGGCATCACAAGCATATCACTTCAGTGATGGCACGGCGGCCATAAAACACAGCACAAAGCAAATGAAAATAAGCTGCACTTACTTTTGTAGCTCTCCTTCTGCGCCCAGGCTGTGAGGAGGAAGTCATGGCACTACACTGCAGTACATTATTAGACCCAATGATCTCATGTCTTCCAATTATCACCCAGCAATGCATAGAAGCTTTTTTAGACACTGTCATCAACACTATAGAACCAAGGTCACAACAAGCATCATCAGCTCAGAGCTGGCACCACAGCCACAAAGCAACTTTACACTTAAGTGGAGCATCAGGAAGATCAGAGTTCCTTCAACCAGTGTAACCCACGCTACGTCAACCATGTTACAGAACCAGCATTAACAGTACAACAAGTTCATCAGCTCAGTGATGGCACGGCGGCCACAAAACACAAGCACAAAGCAAATAAAAATAAGCTGCACTTACTTTTGTAGCTCTCCTTCTGCGTTCAGGCTGTGAAGATGATGATGATGGCATCTATCTGAATACATGCAGACCCCACAGTGTATAGGGAGGTGGATTCCCACCGTATGACCTCCTACACCCTCTTCAGCAAGCGACGTAGGGGCGACAGGGCCCCTAAGAAGAGGGCTCCACCTGTGCTAATAGAACTAGGGTTACATTATCGTAACCTTTGTTCTCTCACACATGCCCTGCTCTCTACTGGAGTCTATGGGTACAGTGGGTGCAACCCGATGAATGAACGCCCTGTTGCGACATATCATCCCAGCCACAATGATCCTGACCGACTAAAGGTCAGTCGCCTGCTTACAGATAACCCAGGCCACCACAGTGGAGAAACAGAGGACCCAAGCCAACTCAGGTGGTGAGCAACCGAAGTGGGTGGACGTGTGGCCTCACCTTACAGGGGTCCAAAGACAAGCAATAGACACCCTGCCCACTACATTTCCTGGTTCATCAAGGAACACAGAAACATGTTGGTGTATCACGGCCAGAGGGGAGTCAGGTGACACACAACTGACATACACCCAGCCCTTTACACCAGTCCTGTGTCGCTCCAGTGAGCACAGACCCTGGAGAGGAGCCTGACAGGACGTAAACCACAATGCTGCCACATATGTCCGGGACACGCATCCCACTGAACAAGGCCGCCAACACTGCCACACCATGTGTGGAGCGTGCGCAGACCACAGTGGGAGGGTCCCTGCCACCTGCCTGGAGGTTTGGAAGATACACTCGCAAAGCCATCGCACAAGGCGTTTCTTGGTTGGGGCCTTACCAGCCATGCCATCACCAAAACACATGTGTTGGGAGCCGTGCATTCAACATAACATGCTGATGCACAAACTGGGCAGAGCAGATGCAATGCTGCATCTAGCTCAGTGCACTACTCACTGCTCACTGAAGAGAAAAAGGACGTCCGATGGCGAGAATCCACCTGCCTATATACTGCGGGGTCTGCACGTCTTCAAGGAGGCTTATCCTGATTGGCCGACTCATTTATGCTTTGTTTGGGATAAGAGGACTGTTACACAAAGAGTCCAGTAGAGGGCGGAGCCTGTGTGAGGGGGGTACGTCACCCATACTATGGAACCAGTAGGACTTAATGTCACAGCAAGCATCTCCTCTCAGTGTCAGTGAGGGCACAGCGGCCACAAACCAAAACCAGCACAACATAAGCACAATGTTGATTCTTCTATGGAAATAAAACAGTTAAGCCTAGCTTCACCAGTACATTTCCAATTATCACCCAGCAATGCATAGAAGCTTTTTTAGACACTGTCATCAACACTATAGAACCAAGGTCACAACAAGCATCATCAGCTCAGAGCTGGCACCACAGCCACAAAACAACTTTACACTTAAGTGGAGCATCAGGAAGATCAGAGTTCCTTCAACCAGTGTAACCCACGCTACATCAACCATGTTATAGAACCAGCGTCAACAGTACAACAAGTTCATCAGCTCAGTGATGGCACGGCGGCCACAAAACACAAGCACAAAGCAAATAAAAATAAGCTGCACTTACTTTTGTAGCTCTCCTTCTGCGTCCAGGCTGTGAGGAGGAAGTCATGGCACGTCGCAATGAATGAAGTGAACAGCAAATAAAACAACTGAGCGCAGCTTTATGACAACATTTGTGGACCAGATGATCCAGTTTTCACCCCAGCAGCAGGCCATGCCACCCATATGCTTTTTGAGGATGACACGCAAAATATAAAACCAGAATCACAACCACAAAAAATGACGTCAGAGATACAAAACGATTACAAAGAGACAAAAAACAACCACAAGGAGACACTAAACAAGTGACAACATGACCAAAGAATTAAAAAGTTACCCTCAAAGAGACACAAAACTACTTCAGTAAGACACTAAATTACCTTAAGGAGACCCAAATGACTACAAAAGGCACAAAAAAACAGAGACACAAAGCAACCACAAGGAGATACTAAATGAGTGATACAAGCCAACTAAAGAGGACAAAATTACCTTAGAGACACAAAACTACCTCAGTAAGACACAAAAAGGCACGAATCAACCATGAGGAGTCATTAAACAACCACAATGAGATACAAAACAACCAAAGTAAAGACAAAAAATACCTCAAAGAGACACAAAAATTACATCAGTAAGGCATGAAATTACATCCAGGAGACCCAGATGACTACAAAAAGGCACAAAACAACCTCAAAGAGACACAAAACAACCTCAGCATGACACAAAATTACCTCCAAGAGACCTAGACAACAACACAAAGGCACAAAACAACCACATAGAGACACTAAATGACTACAGAGACACAATACCCCCAAAAAGATGCAAAGGGACCACAAAGAGATGCAAAACCACCACAAAGTCTGTGCATCTCGCTCCTGTGTAGGAGAGGTGGTGGGGCCCTTTGAGTATCAGTGCACAGGAACTCACTGTCTCACAGTCCGCCCCTGTGTGGGCTCTGCCACCCATAATCAGGCCCGTAACTACCAACAGGGTCACAGCCAGCAACATGTCAGCTCAGTGATGGCAAGGCGGCCAAAACAACACAAGCACCATGTCAATAAAAGAAGCTGCTGTCCTACTGTTGCAGCTCTCCTTCTGCTCCTCCAGTCTGTCCTCCAGTCCTCCAGCGACGCTCCGTGTCCCGCTCTGTCCCCTGAAGGTGTCACATTGATATTGATAACAATTAAAAAGTGTTTGCAGTGTTGACAAAAGTTTGCACAACAAGTCACTTTACCGCGCTCTGCTGCTGCTTTGTGTTTGGTAATCCTCTCAGACAGACGCTCCTGACAGTCTGCTCTGCACCAGGTACAGTCTGAATAACACACACAGACTCCTGGAGAACACCTCCACCTTAACTCTGGTTATTATTACCAGCAGTTTGGTCTCTGACAGCATCCCGCAGCTGGAGGACACTGAGGTGTTTCATCTTCAACTTTTCTTTATGATAAAGACGCTTCAATCTGTTCTGTGGAGGTCATCCATTTTGTTTGCATCACCGGTGTCCGTTACAAGAAATAAAAAACTTTACCAATTCAGTTACCAGCCAATGATGACAGCAGGACTTGGCAATCGGCCAATCAAATTGCAGCTAAGCGGCAGGTGATCAGCGCACCTGGAGTCAAATTTGTGCCATCCACTTGCATTGGCTGAGGCTTTGAGCATGCGCATTGGTCTTTTCCCACGCTTCAATGCACTTAAATTGCATAGTCATGATAAATATCAATTAATGTTTTATGTCATGCAGTAGTCCAGAGTTATATTATATTCTAAATTATTTGGAAGAGATTAACTGACAAATAAACATGGCTTTTAATTTTTAATTAATTCCCTATTAATTTCTATACTTCCTGCGAATATAATCTTAATTATTTTTCCACATGTATTTTGTGTCTACTGTTAAGACCTTGTTTTCTTATTTTGAAAAGCAGAGGTGGTCACATGTGTCCTGGGCTGCCCTTCAGTGAGTGATTAGAGAAATGTTCAGTCAAACACTGAGTGAGGAAATGACTGCACGGTATTAAATCATGAAATCAAATCAGAAGTGAACAGTTTTTATTTCTTCATTTATTTATTTATTCAATCTTCAGGCTACTTTAAGCAAATATTAGTTAAACTGTGGTAAAAATGGCAATATTCCTTTTTCCCTCACCAAAATTTAGCAGCAGACAGCATGTTGCTGTTTCAACGGTAAAACTACATTTATATATCATGTAAATGCATATAACTTGTGATATAAGTCAGTAAGTAAATTGTTGCACTTGATCCAGTTTAAAGGGTTAACCATAGAGCTTTTCATGTGTCCCCCTTGGCCTTGGACACCTGTACACTGTGGGTGCCCACACAGGTCACCAGACTATCACAGGGCTGACACATAGAGACAAACAACCATTCATACTCACATTCACACCTATGGACAATTTAGAGTCACCAATTAACCTGCATGTCTTTGGACTGTGGGAGGAAGCTGGAGCACCTGGAGGAAACCCACTCTGACAAAGGGAGAACATGGGGTTTGAGCCAGGAACCCTCTTACTGTGAGGCGACAATGCTAACCACTGCATCACTGTGCCACCAGAATTAAGTATTTAAAAAAAAAAAAATCTAAGTCACTTAATAGCTTTAAAACATCACTTTCTTTCAGCTGCCAGTAGGTGGCACCTTAATTCTTCCAAACATTAATGTAAATCAAAGCAAATATATAATTAAACTATAAACTATAAGTACCTGGGGATACACATTGACGATAAACTGGACTGGGTTAAGAACACTAACGCTCTCTACAGAAGGGCCAGAGCCGTCTCTATTTTCTGAGGCGACTGAGGTCCTTCAACATCTGCCGGACTATGCTCAGGATCTTCTATGAGTCTGTGGTGGCCAGTGCTATCCTCTATGCTGTTGTGTGCTAGGGCAGCAAGCTGAGGGTGGCGGACAAAAACAGACTAAACAAACTGAACCACAAGGCCAGTGACGTTGTGGGAACGGAGTGTGACTCTCTGATGGTGGTGTCAGAGAGGAGGATGCTGTCTAAGCTACGAACTGTCTTGGACAATGTCTCACACCCACTCCACCATGTGCTGGTCAGGCACAAGAGTACTTTCAGTGGGAGACTCATACCACCAAGATGTACCACTGAGCGCCACAGGAAATCATTCCTGCCTGTGGCCATCAAACTGTACAACTCCTCCCTCTGAGTGGCCCTGAGACTTTTTCACACCCTGCAATAATCCAATGTAATGTAAATTTCTTATATTTTCAAGTATCTTTCCTGTCTTGCAAGGAGCACCTGTAAGATAAATAATTTCCCCTCGGGGATCAATAAAGTATTTCAGATTCTGATTCTGATAATTACTGGCACAGTGAGGCAGCTGTGTCAATCTCCAGAAACTTTGTCTTTGCGATGAAAAGAGGATGAAATGAAATGAGACGTAGCCTCTCTTTTTGTCCAGGAGATTTCACATTGTGTGCTTTTTGACATTTCTTTCAAAATGACACAGAGAGTCAATAAAAACACAAAATTAATGGTTACAAGAATACACATTGTATTTTGTCTTGAAATCTTTACAGAAGATGTCTTCTTGCTTCTTGCTTGCTTCTGACTGTTTTCTGTCTTTTTCTGCACCTCTCAGGATGAAGTGAACCAGATTGTGACCAGCAATGTCCGTCTCAAACAGGTAAATGTGACTGCTGGATTAGTGACAACAAAAAATATGCTTACCCTTCACTTGTAAATAACATTCACAATATTTATAATGAAAACATATTGATACGGTTTGGAAATTAGGCACCACATTTGTTAGAGGTCCTTTCTTTTACTTAACACTAATGATTAGAGTATTTTTTGGAACTAAAGCAATGTGTAGCTCTGCTCACAGCTGTCAATGAGTTTTACCAACCAATATAAAAAGTGTTTCTGCTCATGTAGCTAAAATCCTTAGAAATGTTACTGTTTAAAAAGACACACCTGTGAAACCTCCAATGTATACAGTGAGGATTTGTGACATGGCGGCTGCTGGACAAGATCTTTATTCGTTCTGCTGTGACATGAACTGTACATGACTCCCAGGTTTACATGGGCAATGATTCAATCAAATGAAAATAACACAACAGAACACAGCTCTATAGTATATCATTAGACGAAATGATATGACGTTTTCTGATTTTCCCCTCAGTCGTGGGTGGATGTGAACCTGAAGTGGAGTCCAGATGAGTACGGAGGCATCAAGAAGATCAGAGTCCCTTCAACTGACATCTGGAAACCTGACCTGGTGCTATACAACAAGTAAACACACATTCTCTGTCTCTGTATCATCTATCTAAACACAAACACCACCATTTAAACATCTGGCTGCTCCTTCCCTTTGTCCTCATCCTCTTCTTCCTCTGCAGTGCTGATGGTGACTTCGCCATCATCCATGAAACCAAAGTCTTGCTGGAGCACACTGGGAAGATAACATGGAACCCTCCGGCCATCTTTAAGAGTTACTGTGAGATTATCGTCCTCCATTTCCCGTTTGACCTGCAGAACTGTAGCATGAAACTGGGGACATGGACATATGATGGACTGCTGGTCGTCATCAACCCGGTGAGTGTCTCTTATACACCCACAGAGTTAAACTGAGACATTAGTTTGAAAGGTCGTAATGAACAGAAGTGTCTGTCAGTTACTATCCAACATAAAACATAGATAACTTAAAGGGACAGTTCATCCGCAAATTAAAACTAAATATGTTTCCTTTTACCTGTAGCGCTGTTTATCAGATTAAATCATTTTGGTGTGAGTTGCCGAGTGTTGGAGATATCAGCCATACAGATGTCTGCCTTCTCTACAATATAATTGAACTTGATGGCACTCGAATTGTGGTGCGCAAAAGACATACATACATTTGAAAAACTCAACAGTAATGTCGCTTTCCAGAATGCTTTGAGCACCACAAGCCAATACAGCCAAAATCTCTAGTACTCGGAAACAGTGTTTATTTCGTTGACAAAGACTATGACAAAACATTTTCATCGACGACCTTTTTTTCCATGACGAAAACAAGATGATGATGATGATGAGCCAAAAACACATCTTGATAATAAAAATTAAGATAAAATCTATGTTTCATTTTCGCTGACGAAACAAGAAGTGATGAAAATGTTAGGGGTGGGCTATCGGACATTTAGCTGTGCTTGTATTCATCAACAAGCTAGTAAACTCCAGTAAATAGTCTGTGCCACAATGTTTTACTAGCCAGCAGAATTTGTGGAGTTTTTATGTTGCAGCGGTGGCTGTTAGCAGCTCCGATTGTTCGCCGCTAAACTGCAGCGGAGCAAGCAGCTATTGGCCGCCACATTTCACATGTGTTGATCCCGTGAGACTGCGCCCAAATCTGGACTGTCTCAGGAAGGTTAATGGTTCGATGGTGTTTGACAGGCAGGTAGGAGACTCACTGAAGTTTTCTCTGACAGAGATGAAAGTTTAGTTTTAATCACCTGCTCTGTGAGACATGAGTTTAAACCTTCAACTGAAATGTCGCATAAGTTATTTTTCTGCTTCATAACAGTCAGTTGGATAAGTCAGAGCTTATAATGAACCTGGGGACAAATCCTAGTTGTCTCACATTAGTTATTTGTGGTGTCAAGGAGCATAAATAGAGAGATGTTGAGCTTTTCAAATGATGATCAGTAAATCCCCCCTTAGACCTGTCAAAAACTGCTGGAAAATAAGTGTGTAGAAATTTAGTTGGAGAAAAAAAAACTGTCTAAATGAATTTTTTCTACAACCTCATCAACTATAAAGTTTTGATTTTCCATCAGTTAAAGGACAAGAATGACTAAAATGTGACTAAAACTAATAAATATTTTCATCTCAAGACGGAGACTAAATCTAAAATAGCTGTCAAAATTAACACTGCTCAGCAACTCACTCCAAAACAATCTAGACTGATAAATAGCACTACAGGTACGAGGAAAATTATGTATTTTTGATTTTGGGGCAAACTGTCTCTTTAACCATCCTATCGATCAATGAGTTTAAAACATTAACCCCCGAATACCCTCCCCTGTATCACTTTGCAATAGGCCACCCTATTCTATGACCGTGAATGATTTCCTTCTCTTGTGTGTTTCAGGACAACGACCGTCCTGACCTCAGTAACTTCATGGAGTCAGGTGAATGGGTGTTAAAAGACTACAGGGGCTGGAAACACTGGGTTTACTACACCTGCTGTCCCGACACGCCCTACCTTGACATCACCTACCATTTCCTGATGCTGCGGCTGCCTCTCTATTTCATCGTCAACGTCATCATTCCCTGCATGCTCTTCTCATTTCTTACTGGACTGGTCTTCTACCTGCCCACTGACTCTGGTACGTAGACCCTGCTGGGTTGTGGAGCACCTACAAACTTTTCCAAAAATGTATTAACAAAAAACTTTGATGGTAGGTATCAAGAGGGTATACCAATGCCTTTTCACCAGTTGGTGCAGTTTTTCATTTTTCAAGGTTTTTTTTACCAAGTAGGTTTTCACATACAAGGAATTTACTTTGGTGCTTTGGTGCACAGACAAGAGCCATAAATCTATACTAGGAAAAACTACAATAAACATATAAATAAATGCTATTAAATTATGTACAATGTAACTTTGTTAAAGCTTCAGTGTGTAAGGTTTAGGGGGTATACTGGCAGAAATGGAAAATAATATAATAAGTATATTTTCTTTAGTGTGTAATCACTGGAAAATAAGAATTGTTGTGGTTTTGTTAAGTTGGATTGAGTCGTTTATACCTACATACAGAGCACGTCCACATCTACAGAGATCACCATGTTGCACCGCCATGTTTTTACAGTAGCCCAGAATGGACAAACCAAACCCAAGCTCAAGACAGGGACATTTGTGGTTTTGCATCAGCCACCGTAGTAAGAAGTCCATCTGCAACAAGCGACATCCAAAAAACACTGCTTTGTAAAGTGAAATTGTTTTATTGAGTGTTTTTACTGCTTTACATCATTGGGTCTGTTTGTTTTGGAGAAGAAGAGACCTCCGTGGATAATTCAGCTCCCAGTAAAAACTTTCTCAACATCGGAATCTTAAATTATCAGAGTAAATAGGTGAGCACTAGGCAAGCGGCCCATCTCTCAGTATGTTTACCTGACATTAGAGAAAATCGATTAATTGTGTCAGTCCGACTAAAATCAGACTTTTAAAATACATTTAAACATGTTCGTCCAACTGAAATCGTACTAAATCAAGTTTCTCAAAGTCGCACTAACACACACAGATAATGTGATTCGGAGTTGAATTCCTCCTGCATGTATACGGTCAATCAGACCCAAACTGGCCGAGGCGCTCTGAGCATGCTCCAGTTTCCGCCCGGGCTTTGACCCAGAAGTCAAAGAAGAAGCCAGTAACAACATTGTTAAATCTACATCCAGAGCTGTGCATTTTTGGACAGACGAGATGTACAGAGCTGTAAAGTTGTCCACCATGGTAGCAGTTAGCTGCTAGCTAACCATAGCTAACTTGTTTGTTGATTGTTTAGTCTGTGACTAGAAAAAGGTTCAATACTAACAAGCTGAGAGGGGGCATGTTGCACCATCTACCTATGAAGTTGGGCATACTTAAGGATATAAATTGATTCCCCTCCCATGCTTTTATACTGGGACAAAGACAGCAGTCCAATTAAATGGTCTAGTCAAGCTATAACTGTAGCTTGACTTAAAGGAAAAGGCAACTTTAGAATGAAAATACAGACAGTACTTACTGACCCTCATGCCGACAAGAAGTCCAGTGTAGTTTTTTAATCGACAAAACTCATTCGGGGAAAATGTAATAAAACTACGCTAATGCATTTTAACATCAGAACAGCTCGTCCATCGTAATCCAAGTGCCCTGAAGCCGCGGCATGCAAAATTGACTTGAAAAGACATAATTTACTCCACTTTTATAGCATCATTTCTCACCGTGGTCTGTTAGCCTGCAACTCGCGCGAGGTTCGAGAACAAGAACATCTCTGAACGTTCTCGAGTCTTCTGCGAGTTGCAGTTGTCAATTTTGCATGCCGTGGCTTCAGGGCACTTGGATTACAACGGACGAGACATTTTTGAAATGCATTAGCAGAGTTTTATTACATTTTCAAAAATGATTTTGGACATGGGTTCCATGCACTTCAAGTGTATGAAAAAATCCGGCTAGCTGTTATCCTCTGATACCCTGAACAAGTTTTGTGGATTAAAAAACTACACTGGACTTCTTGTCGGCATGTGGGTCGGTAAGTCCTGTCTGTATTTTCATTCTAAAGTGGCCATTTCCTTTAACTGTGCATGTAAACATACTGACTGATTTGTAATACAAAACTATTTTGTTTTTCAGCGTTTTAATCACTTGGTCTGTTTGATTTGGAGAGGCAGAGACCTCCTTGGATAATTCAGCTCCTGAACAATGAACAAAAAAAGAATTCTAGCCACTAAACCCCCTAAATCTCACACACTGGGACTTCAAAATGGAAGAGCAAGACTGAAACGTGCAAAAACTGTATTTCAGGGGACGTAGAAAGATTCACAGTATTACGGATTAAAGGAATATGTAATGTACAGAAATACAGAACCAAAGATGTGCATTTATGTAAAGCATAGAGATGTAAAGAGGTTAACATCAGATATCATATACACATTTTGACAGCACATGAAGTCGAATAATTTCAGACTCCTTTGGGGCCACTTTCATGTGTGGAAATTCTATTTCATCCAATATGATTTGGATCTCTATCACTTAAACTCACAGATTGGGGTGCTCCAGACATTCGCTTGTACTACATGAATTTAATTCCATTCTCAGGAGTGACTGTAACATTAGAGCAAGATAGTGACGAGTTAATCAGTTTGTAAAGCTCTAACTGGTCACAGCTGTCTGCTGTAAGAGCTATCAAAAAGTGTCAAAGTAGCTCTGATGTCTGTCTTTGTGTCCACCCCTCTGTCTGCAGGTGAAAAGATGACTCTCTCCATCTCCGTCCTGCTGTCTCTCACTGTCTTCCTGCTGGTTATTGTGGAGCTGATCCCCTCCACCTCCAGCGCTGTCCCCCTCATAGGGAAATACATGCTCTTCACCATGGTGTTTGTCATCGCCTCCATCATCATCACCGTCATCGTCATCAACACGCATCACCGCTCGCCCAGCACGCACACCATGCCCGGCTGGATCCGCAAGGTATGAGCTCCACTTTTATCATCAGCCTGTGATGTGAAATGTTTTCATATATGAGTGTTTTAAAAAACAGCTTGAAAGGACTGTAATCATCACCTGTTTATATCTGTCTCTCAGGTCTTCATCGAAACCATTCCCAACATGATGTTCTTCTCAACAATGAAGCGTCCCAGTCAGGAGATCCGCCAGAAGACGTTGTTCCCCACTGACATGGACATCTCGGACATCTCAGGCAAGGCTGCAGCTTAATGACAGAACCCACAAACATTTAGTCAGAGGACAAGAGCAACATGTTCTGGGCAGGAAGCCAGATAGTTTATACTGTGGGCCTGTGAGTGTGCCACGCAGGTGTTACTGTCAGTGGGAAGGTTTGAGATAATGTGAGTCACAGAGACACGTAACACCAACTGACCCCAGACGTGAACTAAAAACATCAAACCGTAGTAATATGCTTGATGAATAAAAAGCAAAAACACTTCATAAGTCAGTAATAATAAACTACACCCTGTTTCTACTTTGTCCTCTGCAGGTAACCCCAACCCCACCAATGTCACCTACCAGTCTCCCATCACTAAAAACCCTGATGTTCGCAGCGCCATTGACGGGGTGAAGTACATCGCTGAGACCATGAAGTCAGACGAGGAGTCAAACAACGTAAGAAAACACCTGCATGAATATTATTGACACGAGTATGGACCCACACAAAATTCATTAACCCGTTCAGATCCCCTGTCCAAACCTACGGACATTACTCTCTAGAATGTCTAGATCCATGATTACTGTCATCTGACTCCACCTATGTCTATAAACCAATCACAGTGTTCCACATCATCTAAGGTTGACTGCAGTAGAGCCACACCCCCTTTTTTAACGAGCATAGCCAACCAAGGCCCCTACAAATTTCTCCCAGTGGCCACTCATGGTATTGCAGCCATTTCCTGCAGCCCACACAGCATTATCCCCATACACCACCATTATAAAAGACACGTCTGTAACCGAAACATGTCCTTGTCCAAGTAGTTTAATACTTAATAAACAAACAGGATACAATGAGTTAATTAGTGAATGTTAAAGGTGCTCGTAGGCAGATTTGTTTACCTCCATTTTTGGTCTTGGTGCTCAGGGTATATGCAGGAATCCTGAGGTTAATTTCAGTACCTTTTTAAGACTTTTTTAAGACCTTCCAAAAAAAAACCTTAAGACCTCATCGACACTTCACGCTGTCGTTAGCAGCAACGCATCTTTAACTTACTAAAAAGTTGTAGTTTGAAATTAAATCTATGGAGCACAAACATACAACAGAACTCAGATAAGATGAGAGGGATTTTTTATTGTCTTTTGCTCCTCTGTTTGGCGCCTGGACGTGCGCTGTCGCATGATGTCACACAGGTATGCGCACGGCCCGAGTGGCTGTCAGAGTGTGCCTACCTACACATCGTTGTTTGTAATAGTCGCGAGGAGGAAAATAAATTATACATTCATGGATACTTTTTATCAAAGCTTGAATGCCAAGAAAATTTAATACTTCATAAAATCACGATTAAGACTTTTTAATACTTTTTAAGGGCCTTAATTTTCCGACATTTGATTGATTAACTTTTAATACTTTTTAAGACCCCGCTGACACCCTGGTGCTAAGCTAGGCTAACGGGCTGCTAGTTCTGGCTTCATATTTACTGAACGTGAGTCTGCGAATCCGAGGATGGTGAAGGAATGGCCTGTCCACATTGCCTTTGTTTTTTAAATTGAATGCCACTGGTAAAAAAGGATACTGGCAACCACTCTATCACCTCCTTACCCTAACCTTTCTGTGAAATAAATCTGCCATTTAGGCCTATTTATTTCACAGTGATTAGAAGCTAGTTATTAAAATGGACCAAGCATAATTTAGGATGACTCCAGGGCAGTTACGCCTCTCAAATCATCTGATTGGACAATAGGAAAAAAGCAGAGATGATGTCGGGTGCTTTTCTTCTCTGAGTTTTTTTCGACTCGAGGAGTTCAGACCAATCCAGCACAAACGCCAGGCGCCTAGAGCATAGAAACTTGAGGCACATAGCAACGCAAAAACAGCGAGCAAAACGCTTCATTCTCATTAAAAACAATTACAAAAAGCCGCCTCCAGCTGCTAAAACACCATCTGTGTGATCAGGGTCTTACTCTGCCTCTGACTGGCTCACCCTGACATTCTTACACTAACCCTAACCAAGAGGACATCATGAAAACCTGAACCAATCTCACTCCTCTTGCCTAATCCTAACCAATCCAGCCAACACTGTCTTTCTTCCAATATGTGTATGTAAAATGAACTTCCAAACAAAAGGCATCTAAACTGTTTATATGACTGGTGAAAGAACATCAGTGTCTAACCGATTATTAAATATCTAAATGACAAACCTCCAAATTCAGACGTCCTCAGATTATGACTCTCTCGCTCCTCCTCGTCTCTTCTTGTTCCAGGCAGCAGAGGAGTGGAAGTTCGTTGCCATGGTTTTGGACCACATCCTGCTCTGCGTGTTCATGGCCGTGTGCATCATCGGGACGCTCGCCGTCTTTGCTGGGAGACTCATTGAGCTCAACTTGCTGTAGAGGCCTGACCCATGAAGGAGGATGTGTGTTGTCACAGCAGAGGTCACCATTGGAGAATCATGTTTCTCTCTCTCTCTCTCTCTCTCTCTCTCTCTCTCTCACACACACACACACACACACACACACACACACACACACACACACACAGTTTGAGTCACTTTCCAATGTGCACGTTTGTGTATTTACTGAAATCGAGGAGACTGCAGTTCAAGGCAAATCCTGGCATCTTAAAGGCACGAGTCTCGTGATCTAGATGGGTCATACTTGAAGCTTTTCTTGCCTTTTGTTTTCGTTGTTTTTCTGCTTGCTGCGATTCACTCTGGTGGAGTGTATGTTATTACTGTAATGTTAAATCCGTAACAGTAATAACTGATGTGTTTTGTCTTGTTTTTGGCAGCTTGATTTGAGGTTTAAGTCGGAGGATTTTCTCACACCTTAACATGAGACTTTTCATGTCCACCGTGCTGAGGATCGACTGGGAATGGATGCTAATATCATTAGCACATACAACCCTGATTCCAGAAAAGTTGGGACGCTGTGTGACATAAATAAAAACCGGATGCAATGATTTGTAAATCCTTTTTCCTATATTCAACTGAATACAGTACAAAGACAAGATATTTAATGTTCAAACTGACACACACAGTCTGAATTTGACGCCTGCAACACTTTGTTGTCCTAACTTTTTTTGGAATATGTTGCAGGCATCAAATTCAGAATGAGTGTATATTTACAAAAAAAACTGGCAATAGGTCACAGAGGATATGCAAATTGTGGGTTTCCTCCCACAGTCCAAAGACAAATCCATTCTGTTGTCATTTATATTTTACACAGCGTCCCAACACTTTCGGAATCCGAGTTGTACTTGTACTGTCTATTAACAGTTTGAGTGAATAAAAGAAATGAACTCCGTGTCCATCCCATCACTATAGGTCAGAGCAGGCTTCAGTTTAGAATGAATATCTTCGATTGTATTTCAGTCCAACTTTATTGCCAGTTGTACAGACGGCGTCTGGTTGACGGTCTTGGAGTGCAGGCAAGACGTTTTCCTGCCTGGAAGTTTATTGTTCTGTTTTGCCCGACACTCACTTGACTTCTAAACGTCTCATTTATATTTATGGGTGAAGGTTGTGAGTTGTGAAAATATTCATGAGTTAGTGAAAAGGTTTGCTTTGTCACTGACGCATGTGAAGTCCTCTTAACTCTGTTGTACAGTTTGTTAGGGGCTCAGTTGTTTTGAATACTATTTTTCGATGAATTATATGATAAATGATTTTCATCCATGTCTTTGGAAAAATGTGAAAATCTGACAAACAACAGAGCAGTTTAAGGTAGAGTTACTGATAAATGTACAGCCAACAAAGGCATGGAGTCTGTTGATTAAGTCATAATACCTGACATCATGATGATTTGGATAAATATGGTCAAAGAATTCTCATTTAGGGAACATAGACTTAAAGCTGATAATAATCGTGTGGTTTGGGTCCAGTGTGTAGGATTTAGGGGCATCTGTCAGCAGAGGTGGTTTATAATATTCAGAAATGTTCCCAAATAAGAATTGTTGTGTTTAGAATGAGACATTTTCATCCACATGGGCAGGGGGTCCTCTCCCATGGAGGTCCACCATGTTGTTTCTACAGTAGCCTAGAAGGGACTAATCAAGTACCGGCTCTAGATAGGGTCATCGGCCACCAAAGTTCTCCCAGGAGAAGTTTCCTCACTGCTAGATGCCACTAAACCCGACACACTGAACCTTTAATTGTGTTGTAGCAAAGGCAGATTGTTGAGCAACGTCACAGCTGCAGTGTTGCTGCCTGTGTTCACAGAAACCGACTGAAGGCAACTTGATTTATTTTGCAGCTGTGATTCCTTTTAAACATTTATCCATTTAGTTTGGTTTAAGACAGTAAAGTTCTGCTGTCATATTTCTCTGATCATTTATTGTTTTTTTATATTTGCAGTTGCTGAGATGTGAAATAGAGTGAAAAATAAAAGTTATCATTTGTTTATTTTATGCCTTATTATATGTCTTTATTGTTGTATTATAATGTACATAAGTGGTTTGTGATTTATTCTTCATCGCAGGCTAAATATCTTGTCACGATTGTGCACTTTGGTCACATTTCCATGACAAACCCAAAAAAATACTGTTGCTTCATTAGGATACAAGGTACAGTAAGGAAGCCTTGAGAGCCAAGATGAAAAAAAAAAAGTGTAGTAGATATTAACTCCTACGTACAGGACATTCCAGGAGATAAACTTTTGGCCAACGTTGCCTGCAAATGTTCTTTTATCACCTTGCATCTGAGGGCTTCCGTAGTGATGGCCTACATGGGTTAAAGGCATGTTCTGTGGAGTTTAAACAAAGCAATTCAAACATTTTTTCACTGACCCTTTGTGGTCTCTGACCTTGCAACTGGTTTATTTGGGCCATACTAAATGAATCTGTGAAGCAAACACTGAAAGCCTATAAGAACCACAACAGAACGATGACTGCCATCTTTGTTGCTGAAAAACTTTTATTAGGCGTGCCATGCGCCCACTTAATGACAACCAGCATTGGCAGAAAGGTAACTGATAAATCTAGCAGAGAAAAACAAAACTACAAATACAAAGTAAACAGGTGTTACACGAGTCAGTGCGTGAGACAACTTGTTGACAGGTTTTTACATATCTTAATGACAGCTTTATATTTATAGTTTTTACCACTCTTCATCACCAGCAGGTATCATGGAGGATAAAAAGCTTGTAAACACTGGCACCACTCAGCTGACCACGAGTCAGTCAGCTGATACAGGTACACTGATGCAACATTTTGCAGGGAAATAACAGGATAAAATGGAAATGATAAGCAGTGGTCAAGGTGCAGAGGCAGGCAGCTTTAAATACATTACATGGTCTCGCCTCAATAGTGAAGGTTCGTCTAGAAGCACTTCTGCTGCCCAAACCTTCAAGGTCAACTTTTCTAAATGATTCTGGGTTGTTGAGGGTTTGAGGTCAACAAATAACTAGAAACACAGAATTAGTGTGAAAATCTGAAATTAACACATTAAGATATACGCATTAAAGGGAATTCAATGTGTCGTCAGTTTATCCCTCAAGAATATTTGGCCCAGGTAGCCTGGGTGTGTTTCTAGGACCAGACGTGAACACCACAGGTGAAACCACCACATATTTACATTTGCATAGACACTCACTATTTCTCCTGGTTCTAAGAAACTGTCAAAAGCAGTGGGTGCTAGTGCTGGCCAGACGAGCCACGAACCTCCTTAATTTGTTGCTACAGTAGTTAGACATACAGCGATCGGCCACAATATTAAAACCACTGACAGGTGAGGTGAGTAACATTGATCATCTTGTGATAATGTGATGTTCTGCTGGGACACCTCGGGTCCTGTCATTCATGTGGATGCTCCACCTATCCAAACACCTCTGCAGACCAAGTACACCTCCTCATGGCAACAGTACACCACTATGGCAGTGGCCTCCACACCCTACCACACCACAAAAACTGCTCAGCAATGGCCCGAGAAATGTGACAATTACCTCAAGGCATCAACCTGGCCTCCAAAATTCCCAGATCCCAATCTGATCAAGCATTTGTGAGATATGTCGGTGCCCCAACTCATAACCCACAGGACTGAAAGGATCCGCTATCAACGCCTTGGTGCCAAAACACCACAGGACACCCCTAGAGGTCCAGTGTCCATGCCTCGAAAGGTCAGGACCAAGTCCGAGCCAAGGTAAACCACCAGGATTAGGTGGTACTTCTGGGGCGTGTCCCACGAATCCTCAAACACATTGGGATCTGAGAAATTTGGAGGCCAGGTAGACACTTTGAGCTCTGTCACGTTCTTTGGGTCATTTTTCAGCAGTTTTTGTGGCGTGGCACAGCACATCTCCCTGCTGGGGGGCCTTTGCCATGAGGGGATGTACTTGCTCTGTAACGGTGTTTGAGTGGGTGGTGTGTTACGACCCAAAATTTCCCAGCAGCACATCGCATTATAACAAAATGATCAATGTTGTTCACTTCACCTGTCGGTGGTTCAAATATTTTGGCTGATCAGCGTGGAGCAGATTACACTGTAAACAGTAGCAACCAAAGCACCAAGTACCTACTGTGAGTGCACACATTTAAAATATGTCAAATGAATAAAAGCAAAAACAGAAAACACAATAAAAACATTTCAACAAATGCTAAAAAGCAACCGGAAGGCCACAGAACCCAAACCAGGCCTTTACTTTTAAACAGTGATTTAAGTACCGTGGCAATTTAAGATTACACGTCTAAATGTTTCAAACGAAACAGTGCATCAAATCCTGAACACAGATTAAAACACATTATGGCCAAATAAATAAAGAGAACTTAGTGCAAATGAAGTCAGGTAATACAGATAAAACTACAGCACATTTGGCAAATGATTGGCAGAAAACAGACAGATGAATTGGCAGTTTTAGCTCCAGTCTGCTAATTTCTTTCACCTACCAAACGTTGAAAGGTTCAGTTCATTCAGAAACTGAATGATTGTTAGCATTGCTCATCAACACTGATGCTATCCTCAAGTACATAAATTAGCTTCAGTCAACAGGCACAACCTTGAAGAAAGATCTTCAACGATAAAGTTTAATTTTAGAGATTCACTTTTCCCCCCCAAAAAAAACTTGGTTAGAAAAAAAAAATAAGAGTCAAATAAAACCTGATGAGTGCACATGCTGTTTGTATGCAGGGAGAGCGGGGTTTATGCAGCAGGGTTACATACCTGTAATGGTTTACAACCTGTTGCACCACTGATGGCTGATCTGAGTTCAGTTACACACAGTAACTGCAGTAACTGGGACATTTAGTTGGTGAAAATAATTTGCTGCTGAGAGATTGTATCTAACTCTCTCACCAACAAAGAAGAAACAGAGGCATCAATGTACAGACTTGCAGCAGCTGCTGCTGTCTCTGGTAAGTGTGTCATCCACTTCAGCTCCGTTTCCACCAAACACTTTCAGTTTGGTACCTTTAGAACCAAAACTAACCCTTCAGACATTAAGGTACCTAGACCCTAGATTTGTTAAATGTTTCCACCGCAAACAGTACTTTTAAATGTGGGTGGGGTTCTGGTCTCCGTCCAACACTCGCTGTATTTTCTCATCACCAGTAAGCAGTGCACCTCGTTTATCGTCCACAGAACGAGGCTACACCTCAACATTTTCAGAACAAAACAGAACAGACTGCAGTGAGAGTCTCTCTCCATGGGATATTTAAAAATAGCGGGTTTGTGAATTTAGTCCTTCTCAGGCAAGCTCAGGGGTTTAGTGTCTCCATGGCCAACAGGAACGATGCTCCGCGATGCTTTTTGTTGTCTTACATAAGCCTCAAAACCAGCCACAACTCAGCCCTGAGCAGAGTGACCGTCCTCTACTGACCAATCAGACTGCAGTGTTCACAGCTCCACCTTTTAGTACCAGATCTGTGTGCTAGCTACCCCAACAGAAGGGGGACCAAACATGGGGACGCTAAGGAATGGTTCCATTGGTACCATCCACAACTTTTTACAGTGGAAATGGAAAAAAATGCGTATCGGACTGAACCGTACCGTACTGCTCGGTGGAAACAAGGCTTTACTGGATATATACATATACATATACATACCCAGATCTAGTCCTTCATTTTGACCTGCACTTAGAACTTCTTGCAGATCTGAGTGCAGCTTACCAGAGAAACATCAGCTGCATTCAAACGCACTAACTTCATCTTAACGCTTGTCTAGAACAAGCTGCATGCTAAAACATTATTTTATAAAAACTTTAAAATTCAGCAGGATAAAATGAGTACATGCATCAGAGTTTGATAAAATGTCAGTATTACTATTTGTCCAAGTATCTGTGTTTAAAGAATACTTCACCTGCAAAATGATCACTTGTTTATTAGTTAGTTGAATTTGTAAAGAAAACTTTTCTCTCACGGCTCCACAGTGAACGAAGAATCCAAAAAAAGACGAAAATTCTTCATGAAGTGAAGTCACTGGTGTCTGTGTTTAACAGTTAAAAATCTGTTCACAAACTGTCACACAACTCCGTGCAGTATAATCAAAGTTTCATTTATCCAGTCGTATGCTCAGCACTGCCCACACAATTATCACTGAAATAAACGTATGTGTGTATGTATTTGTGGAGAGATTTTGTGGAATGGACTACAGGAAGATATTAAACCAAGTAAAAATATCAGACTGTTAAAAATATGTACAAATGTGTACACGCTAACGGTGATATTGTCATAACTGGTTTTCCATTTCCTTTTTTGAGTGTGTTGCTGATTATATATATATGAAGAAGAGCAAGTGATTTAGTTGTTCGGATAGACACTGGGGCAGAGAGTTGGTTTACGTGATTGACTGTGTATCAGAACAGAACAGGGGCAGAACTACACAAGCAGTTTGCTTCTTCCTACTCCATTTCAGACATGAAACATGAAACATAACTTATGTTACTTATCATTATTATCTTATTTTTTTCTTGGTTACTTTTGTTCGTTCGTTTCGTTTATTTCAATTCATGAAGAAAGTCCACCTTTTTGGATTCTCCGTTCACAGTGGAGGCATTGTGACACGTGGTGAGTCGTTGTTACACAAGTGGTCATTTTGCCAGTTAAGTATTCCTTTAAAAGGCTACGAGCGTGTGTGTGGGATTAAAACCAGGAGACGAAGAAAGCCGCAGCAGTGTCTTGAAACTTAATGGCATACCACTAACACAACAGATTATGTCCTGATTCACAACAGGTTCGTCTTCAGATGTAGTTTGTTTGATTTCATGTTCTCTCACAACCCGACAATACAATAAATAACGTATGCCCTACATTCAATTTGCATCATGATAACGTGTGATATTTAGCTAAATATACAGACGCTACACTGAGTGGCGTCAGAGTCAGCGAAGGAAGCAAAATTTCAGCATGTTCTCGTTTCATCTTAAGACAAACAGTGAACCAGCAGTTTATCTAAAAACAAACACTCCATGTTCAAATCCTACGGCAGGCGACTACGTCAAACCTAAAACAACCTTATCCTGTAAATTATAGAATACTGAAAAATTAACAGTCAATCACCACGAATACAGCGTCATCATCAGCAAACTGCTCTACTGAGAAACAGCCTTAAAATTAAAACTACGGTCATCAATCTGACATCTTCCAAGTGAACCACTCAGACTGTTAAGGCCATGATATGTTGGCATCATTTAGGCAATATTTTTGGACAGTTTTACCATTAAATACAATGAGCGTACATCCAAAGTTATTATGTTGTTCACTGAGAATACACACCGTTTACCACATTACCTACATAATCTCCTCTACCTGCTTTGTGTCAGTATGACAGTGATTGATCTAGTTTTTGGTTGCAAGGAAGTACAATATCATTATGCTGCTGCTAGTGACAATCCTTGTCCACCTATATTGCTTTAAAATGCCACCTGTCTATCATGGCCACTACCAACACCTTTTGTTCCAATCGAATGATCCGACATTCCTGGTCCTCCTCTGGACTCTCTGCAACTATGACGGCTGAGACTCTGACTCACAGGGGGCGCTGTGACTCTGCTCTGATTCCACCTCCTCCTCCTCCGCCGCTGCCTCCTCCTGAACCACTTCCTCTTCTCTTTCTTCTTCTACCTGCTGCTGCAGCTCCTCTGATTGGCTGTCACTCTCTGCTCCTTTTGTGGGTCCTTCGTCTTCCCCCAGCTCTCTCTCATCTGAGGAGAAGATAGTGTATGTGAGTTTCATGTGTATATGACCAGTTAACAAGAGATAAAACAACAGGAAACAGTGAGAGACAGTGGGAGCACCTTGGTTAATGTGAATAGTTTGCAACAGAACAAATGATTGGTTGTTGGGAGTTAAAATCTGTGATAAATCAAAGAAAATTAGCAGCATCCCCTTTGTTAGAGTTAACATGAGTTAAACAAGAGTTGGGAGAGGCAGGGAGGCTTTACTCACATCCCTTAAAATCTCCCTCCTCCCATCCAACAAAACAGCGTCCAGAGGATAATTAAAACTACAAAATGTCTCTGTTCCAAAACCCAACAGCAGCTGCTGTGGTGTTACAGATAAACATATGTCAAGAATACAATATAGGGTCAATCCATACCAACTTACTTAACACCTCTCAGTTCATGTCATGGATTTCCTTGAAAAAAAAATAACAATAGTAATTTGAAAACTTCTTATAAATACATCAAACGTGGTGCAATCCTTCAGTGATACATTTTTGAAGTTTCGCCCTTGAAAATTCATTACTCAAAATGTATTCCATTAGAGCGGCAGGATTTTGCCAGGTACCATAAATTGTACTCCTCCTTCGCTTAGGAGTTTGAGTATCTCGGGGTCTTGCTCAAAGTGAGGGTACAATAGAGTGAGATGGATGGTGCCGCGTCAGCCGTGATGAGGGTGTTGGTTTGAGGATTATGTAAGAGAAAAAAAAGCACCGTGGAGCGTTGTTCCTGTGGGCTACAGCAGCACTAAACCCCTGAGCTTGCCTGAGAAGGACTAAATGCACAAAGCTGCTATTTTTAAATATCCCATGGAAAGAGACTCTCACTGCAGCCTGTTCTATTTTGTTGTGAAAATGTGGGCGTGCAGCCTCGTTCTGTGGATGATAAACCAGGTGCAGACTTCCATCTGTGTCACCGCTGATGAGGAAATACAGCGAGTGCTGGACGGAGCACTGAGTGACAAAAACCCCGCCCACATTTAAGAGGACTGTCTGAACAGACCAAGGGTCTAGGTACCATGTCTGAAGGCTTACTGCTGGTTCCAAAGGTACTATACTTGAAGTGTTTGGTAGAAACGGGGCTTAACAGGCAAAGCTCTCGATTTACCCTCACAATCCCACCCTCACCTATGGTCAAGAGCTCTAGGTGGTGACCGACAGAATAAGATCGCGGATAAAAATGGCCGAAATAAGCTTTTTCTGTAGGGTGGCTGGGCATAGCCTTAGAGATAGGGTGAGGAGGGAGCTCAGAGTAGAGCCACTGTTCATTCACTTTGAAACAGGCCATGTGACGTGGTTCGGGCACCTGATCAGAACGCCTACTAGGGTGCCTCCTGTCAGAGGTTTTTCAGGTAAGTCCAACTGTTAGGAGGCCCTGGGGCAGACCCAGACCACGTTGGAGGGATTACATATCTCCTCTGGCCTGGGAATGCCTTGCGTTCGCCCAGGAGGAGCTGGAAAATGTTGCTGGGGAGAGGGACATCTGGGGTACCTTGCTCAGCCTGCTGCCCCTGCATTCTAGCCTTGAATAAACAAATGAAAAAGGATGAAGTTTTTTTAATTTTTGGAGAAAATCCATGACATGAACTGTGAAAAGTTCTTAATTCTGGGTGAGTTTGCATGAAATGACCCTTTAATCACATTATTAGAATCACTGCTTCTTAATGTGATCCTTAGTATCTTTCATTGTGGATCTAAAAATCAAAAGGATTCACAGTCTAAATGCACCATTATTTGCACACTTTAAGATTAATTCCATTACACAGAAAATAATCATAAGTCCATAAAGTCTGGAGCCCCATTTGGACAGGATCAATATTCCAGAAGGAGATGAGAAATTAAGTAGCTGCCCTGTTCTTTGGTTACTAAACTCACTGTCCAATCACAGGAAATGGTTTTTATAATAGATGAGAATATTCTGTGGTAAGATCACGTCATGGATCACCTGCTCAACTGAATACAACTAGAAACTCAGATCTAAAAGTGTGAAAACTCATATGTGAGGTGCCTGTACAGATGGGACTTAAATTATGGAATGAACAACATGTAGATAAAAAGGAGCCATTAGGCACTTTGATTACAACAGGGATTGGGATTAAAATCACTTATCAGAGCTCTTGAATTAAAATCTCCCAAGCTCCCCTAAAGAAAAGAATCTTGTCCGAATGGGGGTTAAATTATTATTAAAAATCACACTTAATGCACAAAATATTTGACAGTCTTGTATTTTGTTCACATGAAGTGATCTGACCAGGCACAATCTCTGATCTCTTTTTGTCTAATGCCAGCGTACCTGACACGAGTTCAGATAATGTGAGGATTTTTAAGACAATTCAGACACTAACTTCTATAGATTGGAAAGCAAATTAACAAATTAGGAAATGTGTGTAAATATTTTGTACAATCAGTTAAGACCAGATCTGGGCCAAACAAGTGTATTTTTTTTATTTCAACTTGAATGTTTAGGATTCATCCATCAGGACAGTTCAGACAAAACTCAATTAGTTGTTCATTTTTCTGATTTTCTAAACTCTGCTAGATGAATCTGAATTCTCTGAATGGGCTTTAATGTATTTGTAAACACATGTATTTGACCCAGGTCTGCTGAAGACATCCAGTATCTGCTTCGACCCACTTTGGTTGCTTTAGTGTGATTAGAGCAAATTTGGGATCAGCATTTCGCTCTACGATGTTATGGATTCTACAGCGAAGAAAATTGATCCATTCTGGTGTAATCAGTTTCAATTAAGCCAGATCAGACACAGTGCAGATAGAGGAGGGGAACCTGGACTCTGCAGGGGTCGGTTCTGGGGGTTCTTTGGACTCTGCTGGATCTGGAAACTGTGGACCAAATTCCACGGAGCTGGAGCCTTGGCTAGAGGCAAGATCACACCGTTAAACCCACTGGTCACTAGAACGCAACACGGTTAGCGTGTTCACAGGTCTGACAGAGAAAATGTGCAGAGGAACATCTACTGTGCTCACAGCCTGTTGTACTGTTCTGCTCGCACAGAATTCATTTGTAAGAATTATAATAACCTGCATTTTAGGATGTGCATGTTAAGATGTACACTCTCTAAAAGCAATGTCACCCTGCAGTAGTTCAACCCAGAGCAAGACAAAAGTTTTTACTCTGGTTAGAAGTTGGATAGTGTTGCACCACCCTGACGACAAACCCGAAGGTTCTTTTTCACCATGAAGGAGCCATGCCAGGATTATATTTTTCAGTCCCTGCAGAATTCTACCGCTTCAATTTGTGCTTGTTGTGGCCTGAAATGCCTGATTTCATGGCAGCTTTTCTAAAAAAACGCGAAGCATGTTGCAATGTTTACAGACGAGTTTTGCATTAAAATTGTGGGAACAAGTTAAGAGTGCAAAAAAAGCCATGACCCTGTCTCACATTCAGAGCTTATTATGAACATTCAGTGTTTCCCATAGAATAAGAATGTATTTGTAATGGTAGGGGGTGTGGGGGCGGCAACAGCTGATCATCAACAATCAGCTGTTGCTGCTGTTGCATGAGCTAACACAGCACAACATGATCTCATCCTTTATATTTTACTGCTTGAGCAGAAGGCAATCCTGTTAATAACCATTCTGTTAGTCCTGTCATTGTATTTGACTGTCCCAGGCAAAGAGCTCCGATCCCGCAGCAGTAGTCTCATAATAAACAGAGTGAGCGAGAGGGTCAAGGAGGGGCTGAGTGAATCAAGACGCTGCATGCAGCTCTACAATGAAATGAGATTTTGCTTTAAAGTTGCAGTGACTGGACAAAATTGGAAGGTCACTCAGAATTAATGGAGACTGGCTGAATTTGCATGAACTGTTGAGATCGCAACATCCTGGAGGGACTGAATTTACAACTGATTTCATCTGGTAAAAATGATGAAAAAAGATATTGAGAAAGAAATGAAATTTCTTAAACATTCTTCCTACTGGAGCTAAACAGATGGTGATATTTTAAAGTGGTGGTGTCTCACCTCCGCTGACTCTGTGCTCACAAACAACTACTAAAGGGTAAAAGTTGACATCATTAACATTGGAAGAAGAATCAAACACAAACAAATGAAAACACTGACTGGAACACTGGACTACAAAGCATTTAACACAGGGGATTAGGACATGGAGTAAGTCACATAAAGATGCACAGAAAGGTGTGAGTTTGACAGCGTGTGTGTGTGTGTCTCAGATGTGTCACACACATGTTCAGCTTCTTGGTCTCAAGTCTGAACCACTTTTCTCAATTTCCTTCTCGTCTCAGATTCAGACCCAGTTTACTTTTTGTCTGATCTCAGATGTTTATCCGGTCAAACACTGTCTGACTGCTCTTCAAAAGTTTATGAATCACGACAGATATTGTGTTTTGTTTTATCACTGGTCCAATTTAGGATTTGCTACCATCAGTATGTTTTCTCAGTTCAGACCTGAGGAGACCTCGTCGTGCTCAGTCTTGCTTGCTGTGTGTCTGTGTGTTTTTCAGTACCTCCAGAAGGAGGTGCACTCTCCTCTGTGTCTGTTCCTGAACGCCGCATTGGTCCAGGAGAACGAGACTCTGCTCGCAGCCTCCTCTCATAGCTGAACTCTGGAAGCCTGGGAGCCTGAGGGCGTGTCTTCCTGGCCGGATTCAGGAAGTAGCAATACGCACAACGGAACGCTGTGGCGTTGGATAGAAAGATAAAGATAAAGAATTACAGAGAGACAGTGTTTCATTTTACAGAGTTACAGTTCCACTGGATAATATTTCCCATTAGCTTTACAATAACTTCCTGGAGTTTATAATCTCAAAAGCTCTATTTACAGTGTTCTCTGTCAGTGAGATGGATCTTCTCATTATATGCAGAGGTGTGTTTTTGTTCTTACCTAGATATTCAAACTCTTCCTTCAGAGCCATGCCGTTATGAGAAAAACAATGCTGGCAGATCAAAGCGTATCTATAGAAAGAAAGGAGGGACAGAGGGAGACAGAGACTGTTAGATATAACACTTCTGTGATGTTCAGTGCATTCCAGGAGTTATTTTGTAAAAGCTGATTCCCATTTATCTGCTTTATCTGCTTCCGTCATTGATTATCTTTTTTCCAGAGTATGTTTGAAAACCCGAGGACATGTGTACCTCAAGGCATGGACTTCAATTTAAATCAAAGGTAAACATATAGCCCAAAAGGTGCAGGTAGCTCAAATTAAACCAAGGGTATGTTTGTGATCAAGGGCTCCACCAAAGTCTAGAGTATGCAAGTCTCTCTTGCAGCTGCATCAACATGTCTTCATTTACTGGGTGAAACTACTGCAGCTATTACTTTCTATTAAGTCCTACAGATAATGCAGGCTGGTACGGCTGGTTAGTGCTCTGACGATGACTGAACACCACTCCCTTGTGGAGAATCTGCAGACTACTTATAGGGATTTTAATATGGCATTAAGTTGTTAGCTACTTTCACAAGGTTGTAAGAGCTAAATATGTTCTTTCAGTTTCTAGACATTAATTGTATTAACCATGTGTGCACACTGGGTGGCGCTGTGTTGGTATTTTGGGCTGATTGAATAAAGGTAAGAAGGACATTGTTGCTGTCAGGTGTTTGATCCCAGAGGGGCAAATGGTTTTTGACCGCTGTGGTGCCTAAGATTTGTTCGGCATGCTGAAGGTTGTGTGTTCCGTTTTTGGATGAAAAGAAAAAATGTATTTAACCTAATGCTTGCTGGTATGAATAAATATGGTGATTGTTCTGCAACTGGAGCCTGCAGGTCATTTTCTGAACACAACACAACCACGGGAAGCTGTGGCATCAACCGAAGCAGCCAGGTCAAGCTGGGTTAAATATCTCAGTCGCTGCAAGGAGTAGACTTAGCTCCGACAAAGGTGTATTACATTTTTGGAAAAACAAAGGGTCTTCACCTGTTCTGTGGTCCGTCCCCTACCAGGTATTCAATGACTCGGTCCATGGCTCCCCTGTCTTTGGGCAGGATGGGTCTTGCTAATGGAGGACCTGGTGGGTGCAGGCCTTTGAAGACACACACATGGAAATTAATACAGACACACATAGAAGAATGCACTGATCTTTTTAAATTCAGCAATAATTAAGTGCATTTCATACAGATTCAGGATTTTAAAACGTTGTGTTCAAATACCTCGGGCTGTGTCAGCCTCATTATAATGTGCAGAGACGGAGCCTAAAGCTGGGCTCAGACTACAGGAGTTCGAAATCAGGTTGCATCACGGCATGAAGAGAAACTTCACAGATGTTCTTCTTTCTCATCTTAAACATGGACGCAATACAAAATCTGAAAATAATGACACACTGCAAGATATTAAGACTATCGTGCCAGAGAGAGCATGGATGCACCACCTCAACGCAGGTTGTCTATTCTTCAGTAAGATTTGGAGGTGAGATTTTAACTGCCATCTTTATTATCTGTCAACAGTAGTATGCTAGCTAACGTTAGCCTCAAGGGATGTAACTTTAACCATTACTTGGCAACACCATCAGCTGCTCCGTGCTGATGGAATCATAGCCACAATCATTCAGATCTGAAATCTGAAATACGAGCCTATCAGCAGTTTGGGAGGGTTAATACTTGATCTTTAAACCTCTCACATGATCAGATAATCTGAGCTGAACATCGGTACCAACCAAGGTCCAAGACCAGATTTCTCCCGTAGTCTGAGCCCAGCTTTAGATTGCAGAAACCAGCAACAGAAGATATTTCTATTTCAATGCACACACAGAAGCATTTGTGCCAAGACTTAATTCAAAGGCTTGACAACTTACCGACTCCTGGTATAGGAGAGCTGGGGGTCCTGGGTATCGCCCCCTGGAGGACAGAGGAAGACAGAGCAGATCTCTCTGGCGGTCCTCCTGGAGCTGAGAGAGGGACAGGTTCTGTAGGGAGAGCAACATCGGATAAAGACACAAACAGACGTCTGAAACAACTAAGTCAAAGGCAGCTGGGCTTGCTGTTCAGTCCAGTTGCCTTTGACTTAGTGATTCGGCCTGAGAATCTGCACAGACAGACACTGGTCATGAAAAGACACATCTGACGAGCTCTCAATGTCAACTCAGGGAACTGTGTGGACCAAGGATCAAAGTTCATGTACTTACAAACTGTGATACTTCATCATACGTCATGTCAAGTATCTCAGTAAGCCCCCTTACCCACAGGTGTGCCCCCTGGTCCCATTGGAGGCCGTGCTCCAGGTGGGGGAGTCATTGCAGCCGGGGTGCCCATCGGCATGGGTCTCATTGCCACCCCTCTCTGTCGAATCTCTGCACAGACAAGAGAAATTCATCAGAGTAAATTACTTTGCAGAGGCAGACATTTGATACATCTCTCCTTTAATCACATCATGTATTCTCTGAGAAGCAAACACTTTTTATAGCTCTCATTTCTGCATTCCTCTGGCCTGAGCTCCACCAAACACCACTCAACAAACTTTAAACGTGATGCTCTATCTTTCTGCTGTGTATTGATCTGTGTCGTACCTTGTCCTGGCCTGGGAGTCATCTGTGGACGCACCGGAGTCGACTCTAGCTCCTACAACACGACAGCAGACAAGACCAACAAAAGTCAAACAAAACAAAGATACAATAAAAGATAAAAACTCAACAAACACACAGATAAAGTTAAAAAAAAAAACAGACAACTCACAGCTTTCTTCTTCGCTTCAGGATCAAAGCGCTCCAGGATGAGTTTAGCATTTTTGTACGTCTCTGTTTCCATCACTTCCTCCAGCTGGAAACACAAACCAGGGCAAGTTTTATTCCAACATGCAGACTGAAGCCATGAGGATAAACTTGGTCTGAATAATTTATCTCAGAGTAGCAAAACCTTAATGTTTAGAGGGGACACTGCATACAACTGTTTTCTAAACTTGTTGAAATGAGCCATCAAAAAAGAATTTCTAAAGAAAGAATTTCTTGTGGATTTCTAGTTAAACATTGTGCCTGGAGCTCATCATGTGTTAATGATAGTCGTTACCTGGAGAGATATACGTTTCTTACCCGTTACAAAACCAAAATCAAACCCCAAAAAGTGTAGGGTTAGCTAGCTAGCTGCTGAAGGTATAGCCGACTGAATGTATACACACGCTCTACAGGAACCAGTGAGGGGAAACAGGGAAACCTTCCCATGTTCAATCAGCTGTGCGTCATCACAGTGTGTGCAGATGAACGTTGTTCATTTTTACACTGTGATCTGTACGTTAGACTGAAGCTTCTATCTTTATCTTCTAAATCTGTTTATTATTATTATCATTGTTGTTGCTGAGTCAGTTTGACATCCTGGATATATCCCTCAAACATACAGTATATTGTCGACTCTTGTCTGCTTCTCTCTGGAATCACTTTTCTGTTTTCCCAAAAATGTGATAATAATTCTTCAGGGAGTGCAGTTAGTAACAGTGAGGGCTCCATGCTCGTTCCAACAGCTTGACAAACCAACACAAAGGGGCGGGGCTTAGCAAAGGGTCACTTGTGACGAGCTGGACACTTACAATCTTTTTTTTGGCCGCCTTCAATTCTTCCAGTTTATCACCTAAAAAAAGAAGCAGAAATAATATTTGTCAGTTCTCTGAAATCAGTTTCCATCCAATCAAACACACTATGTCAAACATATCTGGAAGTGGAGTATACTAAGTTTATTATGAAGCTGTGAGATTGTATTTTTACAATATTAACAAGCTGTTTGTTCTGTAATTCTGTAAGAATGCAAAGTCATTGTGTCCTTTGTTAAGTCCTAAAATTAACAGAGGCCTGAAAGGAATATGTAATGCGTTAGTTGGATGGATGGACAGAGAAGGACAGATGGACAACTTACTGTTTCTCTCAGTGCGTTTGGAAAAAAGGAAGATCAACAACTTCCTGATGAACCAAACCCTGATGAAGAGGAGGAATAATCAACTTGAGAGTCAAACTTGTCAACAAACACTAACCAACACTCTGCTGGACAACTTATCAAATTCATAGAAGATAATAAAATACAAATAATTAAGTAAATACAAATTTACACTGTAAAACAACATGAGCACTCACAGCACAGGGTATATGAAGAAAGGCAGAGCCATGGCGATTCTATCCAACCATTGCTCAGGCAGGTAGAGACAGTACACAACCAGACATGTCAGCAGGTACAGGACCGACGAGTAGAGAAGCAATCGGCCGACCCACAGCTGCAGGCAGATACACACAAGTACTTCAATGAGAGAAAAGAAACTGCAGTTTAAGAATATCATGGCACATTTTGCTGACTCTACCTTTTGTAGACGTTGGTTTTTGGCTCTGAACTCCTCCAACTCTTTAATCTCCTACAAGAGAAACATGGAGGTTAAAGGTTATTTAAACAAAGAATCTCCAAAAATCAAATCTGAGTTCATCAACTGGGAGTTTGCAGAATTCATCATCTTGAGTTGAAGTTATCTTCTGTCTGTGTTCTGATTTGGGATACTCAGGTAGAGTTACTGTTTCAGGATGATACAAGTAAATGCCACATCCCACCTTCAATAAAACAGTGACCTTTCTGATGAGGCAGGATTGATGAAACTAGCTGGATAACTAATGTCAAATTCCTGCCCCATGTTCTGTGTGATCATCCCCTGATTCAATAATCCTGCTTCTGAGACAGGCTCCAGTTAACTGCGCAATAAATCTTCATTATTAAAAACTACAATGCAAACTGGGCGTGCATGTTTCATTTGACTGTGCTCATACTCTGTGGAAAAACACAAGGAACCCAAGAGACTAAGGAAGACATGTCATCCGTTTTCTGTGCCGTAATCATTGTGTGAGTGCATAAAATCAGATACAATATTCAGTCTGTACCTTGTCGAGGGTCTCCAGCTGCTCAACTGTGGTTTGCTTTGTCTGGAATGAGGATAAAGATCAGAAAATCATCATCAGGTTCATCAGCAGAAATAAACAATGGGATTCTCAGAACTGATCACAGTAAACAATCAATCCTGTATGTAAACACATGTTTACTTGTGACTTGGGGTGAGAATCAATACCTAAGGTATCAACTGAGTCTTAACTTATTTATTCTTATATTTTTTTATAACAAGACAAAAACATAACACTGATAAAACAAACAACATGAGATAAGAACAGTGAAACAGGTCAGTTAGAATTTCCACAAGGGGTCGGAGTGTTGATTTGATTTTGGTGTGTGTGTGTGTGTGTATTCAAAACAGTCAGTCTGGCATGTTTGTGTCAGGGGGCGTTAATAGGTCAGTGAGAGTGTCGCTGTGTTCGCCAGCAGTGAAGCTTGATCGCGGCACCATCAGGGGGCTCCAGTGTGGGTCATCAGGGTCAGTCTGGCACAATCAACCAGGTGTGTGTGTGTGTGTGTGTGTGTGTGTGTGTGTTGCGGTGTATTTGTTGCATTATGAGTGGTAGGGGCATTTTACGCAACTTCCATTCACATGATGGGTGTCAAATGAAGTACTCGGTATTGGTGCTGGTATCGTAACCCAGCCGTGCTTGTGACTCATCGAGGGATCGGTGTCTGGTTCACTGAAATATCTCAGCTGTATGTAAATAAAGGCAAATGTGAATTCACATGTCCCTGCCTCTGTACATGTCTGTGTGTTCTTTTGTTTTTGATTCCCATTCTGTTGGTCTGAAAAATGAATAAATGCAAAAACCCAGGGTTGTATTCTGCTGCTCACTCTCTCTGCATGTCTCTCTCCCTTTCCCTTTGACTTCTCTAGTATGTCTAAAAATAGCACATGAATTACATCTAGCTTGGGTGCAAGGTTCACTGCGTCGACAACCAACACACCTAAATGATTTCACATGCAGTCATCACTTATGGAGAACACAAGAAAAATCTACTACGACTCAGCTGTCCATGTTTGTGGAGTTAAACAATGTAGTTATCAAAATGATAAAACAACATACCTCAATTCCTCTCTATTCATTAGCATTTTCTTCATTTTAATCTAAGAATCATGGACTGTGTCATCATTTAAAACATGACATTTACTGTCTATAAACATTGGAACAAAACTATCACAAAGTGCATCAGAATTTAAGACTCTTATCAAATTTTGAAACGTCTGATATTGATTTCTATCGACAATCGTTGCCTGTGGGGTATATTTTGGGACCAATTTCACTAATACAGGTTGACGTGCTGCATGACGTGGCACTATATTTAACATCAGCCCTTTAAAATCCAAGTGATGAAAGGCGACCTTTAAAATGTTTCTCTCCCTGAGGAGCTCAGACCATCAAAATCAGTTTGATCTGCTGAATCTCTTTTTGAAAAAAGACTCAATGACAATTATATTAGCCTTGTCTCATAATTGTTGTGTGTTATTATTATTTTCCTGTTTGTATTGTGCAATGTTAACTCTTCTTTTCCACTCTCATTTCTTGTACTTTAACCTCATAGTGTTTTTTGACTCTTTCTTTTCTACCGTCCACATACCTTCCATCTGGATATCAGGCCCCCCATGTCTGTAAATTACAGTCGTCTCCTCTTTGATTCCTTTGGCTCACTGTGGAACAGAAAGTCTCTATTAGCACATAATACTCACTGTTTACAGCTACACATGATGTTAAACACCACATTTACAGGACACTTACATCACCAGGAATTAGCAAACCGCCTATAGAAAACTGGACACAATGGCTGCTGCTGTTGTGGATTTACAAAGGAAAACTTTGCTTACGGCTCCTTATATAACTTACAGATACAACAAAGACGCAGTTCATATAGTCAACTCTGAAAAGCTGTTTAATCTGCATGGCCGATACAGACGGTGACATCTAGGAGTGATTTAACTCTTCAGAACATGACTCATTTTTACAAGTGATGTTGGTCCACATGTGGCTGCTCGTGATTTCACAACTGTCATTCAGGCAAGAACGAAAAAAACGATGGGAAATCCCTGGAAACTCTATGAATCATGTGGCCCAATGACAAATATCAATTAAAATAGGTTAAAACTGCACATGAAAGTAGCTTTCACCTTTCTGAGGATATCATTTACTTGTTACTAAAGTATTATTTTCAAACAAAGTACTTTAAGTGTTTTAATTCAGAAAGAACAGCAACAGTGTGGAACCTTATGTGAAGTATAATCACAACAAAAGACAAAGATCCCTGTGTGCGCAGTTGCGCTCAGTAGCGTTACCATTAGCTTCAGAGACTGGAAGGTTTAACACCACCCCAGAGGACAGAGTTTGTTTGGTGTGTAATTGAGGTGAAGGTGAGAATGAGGTTCACTTCATGTTTTACTGTACTGTATATGAAGACAAAGGGGACGTACTTTTCAGATAAATGAACTCTATGTATATGGATATCTTTTGGTTGGATGATCTTGAAAAATACGAGTTGTGTTTCAGAAGGGGATCCTTTCCTGTGGCTGAATTTTGTTGCCAGGTCTGGGATAGAAGGCAGACTAGTTTGTTTCAGGTCTGTACTTGTGCAAGACACAAAATATAAATCAAATCATATCAAATCACGACTATTATATACTACTACTGTTATTATTTTTAATATTATTGTTATCATTGTTATTATTGCTGTTGCTGTCCATCTCTCTCTCTGTCGGATTGAATTGAATAAAATGAAATTTTGTGTTTCAAGGGAGGGACCTGATCTAACAAACTCCAACCTTTCACTTACTGCTCGACTTCAGGTCACAACACAAGACAGCAGCACATTACTAGATCAGTCTCACATGCACTTATTCCTGTACCGCCTTAGAAAACAATTATGGTCAGAGATCATTTTGTCACACTTACACTAAGATCTGGAGCAAGATCCCTCACTACATTAGAGCAATAACCTCTATTACACATTTCAAACATGCATATAAACATGCAACCACTGGTTTAAATCCCATTTTACTGACTCCACCTCAGTTTGCTACTCTGCATTGTCTGTGCAGCTGCCTGTGTTTTGTTGTTCTGCCTCTGTTCACCGATTCTGTTTTTACTCTGTATTATAATGTGTTTTTGTTGCATAGCAGGAACCTGCTGAAAATCAGTTTTTAATTGAGTCAGGACAGTTTTAACTGTAACACACATATGATTTGCATTGAGTTTGTCTGGTTTGCACTGTTAGCAACAACGTTTGGGTACATTAGCCTCAAGTTGGTCACCGGAATAAGTGCTGGTCATGTTACAGCATTAACTGACTTTTCCTTAAGACCTCCTGTTCATAACTTAAAGCTGTTTAAAGGCAAATAACACGTTTAAAGAATGTTATAACTGCATGTTTCCAGCTAATGTGGTTACAGCTAGCATTAGCTGCTCCATCCAAACAGTGTTTACAGCGCTGCTAGCTAGCGACAGTAAGGCTGTTTAACCACCGTTACACCAGACAGAGAAGCCTTATGTTTTAATGTTACAGATACATTTGGTCTAAATCAAACAGTCATACCTACAACATGAGCTTAGCATGTGTTCACTGCTGTGACGTTACTTAGCTAGTTAGCTAACGTTACTGCAACAACAACACAGCACATTAGCATCGACACCAGCTAAACACTGACGTTAATGCTAAATATCTTCATTGTGTATTTAATTTAAATAATTACTTACATCCGGAGGTGTCTCAGAGTTCCTGTTTGCCGCTCATTTAGTCAAGTTAGCGCACACACGAGCAGACAGGACACTTTCTCTGTTACCTCAACTGACATGTCAAGCGTGTTGAGTTGGCGCGGCGGAGAGACCTAACAACGGGTGACGTCACTTGGGAGCAGCGGTTGATGTGTTTCCCAGAATCCTTTGCGTTGTAGTTTTTTTCCTGTACTTTTGTGAAGCGATAGATAGATAGATAGATAGATAGATAGATAGATAGATAGATCTCTATAGAATATCTATTGAATTTACAATATAAAGAATATAGGCTACTAATACACTTTTAATAGCCGATATTAAAAAACAAATATTAAAATGTAAAACAATATAAACTTTTAGTGTTCAGATTAAGGGAAGGACTACACTACCAGATAAATCAACTAATCGATTAGTAAAAAAAAAAAAAAAAACGAAAAAATAAATGAAATTATGCACTTATAGATTGACTGAACTGAAATTATTTGTAATATCTTGAGTCATATTTCAGAATGCAGAATTCATGCCAGTGTCCAGTCATTAATCCACAACAATAAATAAATCATGTATCTTCTTTCTAAGGGACTGTTCTTTATTCATCAGAGGAGGTGGGTGGTGGGAGTGTGACTTTGATGTTGTTGTTGTTGTTGTTGTTGTTGTTGTTGTTGTTGTTGTTGCTGTTGTTTGTTTTTTTACCCTCCCCGGAAAATGCATGACCCTCCCTTCACAATAAATTAGTTATTAGATTTTTAAAACTTACCCAACTCCAAGACAAAATCCTGGTGTTGAAAAAAATTCAAGGTTTTTCACTTAGTTCAAACAATTCATTTTTTGCCCAGTTTGAAATTAGATGTAGAATTAAGCTAATTAGATGAAATAACACTATTTTGAGCTCAGATTTGACATGTTTATTTTTTCTGACAAAGTGTTTGTTGCACATGTTGTGTCGATGGTATATTGGAAATTTGAAATCTGTTTCTTCAGTTTCTGGCTGTGATAAAGAAAACAAGCCTTCCAAACCAGTATGTTTTCTTTAAAACATTGTGTAACCAAAAGTAAAACTACACAAGTCCCTCCCTAGTACTTAAAAAATTGTTTGCATGCTACCACCATTTTGCACCCCCCACTTGCACTTAAATCTTGCACTGTTTAGTTTTAATTTAAAATGAAGGCACTGTTTTTACAAGTTTATTCCTTTGTGTGTTTTTCCTCCTTCTTAATGTTCACCTCGTTATTCAAACACTGTGTCTTTAATTGTTGTGTTTTTATGCGTAAAGCACTTTGTAACTTTTTCTAATGAGTGCTATACAAATAAACTTTATTACTATATTACTAGCAGTATTATTGACAGAAGCTGATCATTGCGAATACTGAAAAACCAAACCTAAATTAACAAATACACTTTGCAGTTAATTAAAACTCAAACATGACTTAGACAAATCAAATACTAAAAGGTCAGCCACCAAAAACAAGCGTACAGAGCTGAAAAAATATAAAGCCATACATCTAATAAGAAGTCCATCAAGGAACTGCACAAATTAAATACGTCATGCATCTTACTGGAAGATGTGAGTCACAGTTTCGCCACTAGATGTCGCACACATTGTATTATTCCACGTGTGATCCATTAAGCAATGCAGCATCTACAGTGAGCTCATCAGCGGGACAGTTTATTGTGTTCACACCAAACTGTGATGATAAAACATTTTTAATTAAAGAATTAACGGATATTTTGTCATCACGCATGTCATCATGTAGCCTGTTTTTAATTTAATACAAATTACCTGACGTGGAATCATCCCCTCTTCAGCCAGAACTGACGCAACTGCACAGATGAAATATAGTTATCATTATAGTTATCTTAATAATAATGTAATAATAATAATTAATCCTCCTGGTGAGGCTCTGTGCAGCTCTTGGAGACCACACACTCTGCACACACGTAGCACAACCTCAGATCTACATTTATAGTTCAGGTGAATCATGAAATTTCCATAAAAGTTACTTATTCTACAAAAATAAATCTGTGCTGCTAAATGTCACCAAAACAAATTATTCTCAAACACACACACACGTGCACACAAATGTTCTTGTCGTGTTTCAGTGTAGAAAATGTTGTGAATGTGGAATATTCAGCAGCCTCTTCTCTCTCTGAGCTCCCAGCTGAGCTGTTTCACATTAGGCTGCAGTGTGCAGAGATTTGGCCTTCAGCTTTAATGCTTACAGCTTCCTCTGGAGTTTCAAGAGTTATGGGCCTAATAAAACTCTCCCTCACACACACACACACACACACACACACACACACACTGTATGCTGTTGATGTATATTATAACTGATGAGTAATCTTGATGCTGATGTTATTTCCGTTTCATTAACCTGTAATGAATTAAACATCCTGGATGAAAATGAAAAGCAGGACTTTTTTTTTACACAGCTCTCCCCCGCTTACACAAAGTACACACACACACAGACACACACACACTAGGGATGTTTGTATGTGTAGTGGGACAAATGAATTTTGCAAAGTCACAGACAACAGTAATCTCATATTTATTTTTATTTTATTTTATTTATTGTTGTTTTTAATATTGATAGAAATCGACTGTATCTGTGTGTTTTGATTTTTAACTGGTTTTAAACAACAGCGCTGCAACACATAAGAGACGAACTTATTAATATGTTGGCCTACTCATTTAAAAAGCATTTTTAGTGAAGCTTAATGACATGAGACATATTCATTTGTTGATTAGAAATTTACAGAGCACTCTGAACACACATAAACAATTTGGCAACATGTTTAACTGTAACTCCCGCAGGGTTTATTGGCCGCAGCGTGGCAAAAGTAAAACTAAACTTTCACCTGACCCATTAAAGCTCTAAAGGAAATGTAAGACATGAGTCACGGGGAGAGAGTTGTGCAGGATTGGCTCTAATGATGTATGCGCAATGTGATCTTAATTAAAAATCTCTAATTATCAGAGCGGTGCCACCGGTGGTTAGATCCTTCCAGTGGGGATGAAAGGCCTCCTGCATGCCACCATTTGCTGTCTGAACATTTCCAGTGGACGACACATGGTTCAAAGACACTAAAGATTTTTTTTTGGGGGGGGGGGGGGGGGGGGGGCGGGGGGGGGGGGGGGGGGGGGGGGGGGGGGGGGGGGGGGGGGGGGGGTCAGACCGTGTATTGGACTTGGCAGTCAGTGTGTGTCTGCCGACGCACAGCGCGCAAAGTTGGGCTGGATTTGCTGCTGCTCGGCCTTCACTCCACACAACAAGGTAAGGCTCCATTTTTCAGTTAATCACAGTTTGTTCCGCCACTCAGTTACTCACACTCAAACACTATTCAAAACATGTATTCATTTAATGTTTCTGTCCTTAGTTTTATATGCTCTCTTGTGCAAGTTCACCTCTGAGCGCACAAAATGTTAATAATATTTTCTGGCCTGCTTTTCACTGAATGTGACGTAATACACTGAATTTTCACGCACAAAATACGCCATTGCAAAGTTTGATTCGTTTAGCTCGCTGTAAATAGACAGGAAACAACAACAACGTGGACTACAAACTATTAGCTGTTACAGCAGGACTCACAGACTGTAGGAGCACTGAAGGTTTAACAAGGAAAATATTGCATAAATAGAATAAGTTCATAATAATTTCGACCTATTTACATAATTTAAATTATTTGCACATTATATATTTATTTACAAGATATAATAATAGTAGTAATAATTCAGATAAAATAATAATAATAATAATAATAATAAGGGTAAAAATAATTAAAATAATACAATATTTATTATTATTATTATTATTATTATTTATATAATTCATAAAAATTTTGTCATGTAGAATAATATCAATATGAGAGCAATGCAACACGGTTAAAATCATTAAAATAAAATAAAAATATATTTTAAAAAAGCACTGGAGTAATGTTTTGTTATAATAATAATAATAATAATAATAATAATAATAACGATAATTATTTTCGGAAGAGGATTGACTTTGTAATGTAGAATAATATCCATATGAAATTACTGCAACGAAACCGGAGTCACTGATTCTGATCTCGTTTCTGTTGGGACGTTTCAGATGGTCGGCCTATAGGCCTGAAGTGAGACCACGTGCACATATTATCTTCGGTCTAAGTTCTGTTTGTTCATCGATTTAGATCCAGTAACATCAAAATCACTTTAGTTCCCAGTGGCAGCCTTTAAAAACGTCAAAAGCACAAAGCGAACTGAAAATAATTGTTCAGCTTTTTCTCTCCATATTACGTTTGAAGCCTAACACAAGCTGAAATACCTCACCACACATCACGTGTGTTCTGATGTCACAACAATGTGCTCCAGTAATTAAACATACAACATGTTGAGTTTATATTCAAATCAAAAACCTGACAGGGAGTTTAAAATGGTCTCAAAGACACGAGCCTGTCCACGAGGACACTGTCCTGATGTGTCTCATTCAGATGTCCTCCTGCTGCGCATTAAACAGCCAAAGCCTTTCAATTAGACATAAATATTTATTATGCAATAAATGGGGGAAATCCCAGAACAGCTCTCAGGTATTTATATGACCTTATTACCTCTGAAGGCCTCAGGGCTTTCTGCTGCAGCCTGTTCAGCCTATATGATATGTGCTGACCCAAATACAGCTCAGCTCTACATCTGGTTTGTCCATTGACTTGAATGTTACATAGAAAACTTCACTCTGGCTGCAACAAGCTGCAAGTTGTAAGTCACATCATGTGAATTTATGGGATGTAACCAGAAACAAAAGCACCCTGCTACGAATCTGCTGATGTAGAGAAAACACATCAGTAACCAGGAGTCACTGTGGTGCTGTTGCATACAGCCATCATGGTCAGAGAAGCATCCATGAACACCTGAGAAACTTCCACATAACAATGATGAAGATGTTTCAAGTGCAGCACCCCAAGGCAGCCAAGGCCATATGAAAACTAAACATCAGCAGTAGAGGAAGTATTCAGATCATTTACTCAAGTAAAACTGCTAATGCCACATTGTGAAAATACTCTGTTAAAAGTAAAAGTCCGGCATTAATAACATTCTACTAAATCCTTTGTTGGAGCACGTTATGAGTCACTTTATCTCAATGGAAAATGTG